ATGGGGCTGAATAGCTCAGTGACCCCACAAGCTCCCAGTGAGAACTCACTGACTCACCCTGGGGCTTGCAGCCGATGCATTCACTGTGCCCTTGTCTGCCCACTGTGTTCAATGTCCACCATGTCTAGTTCTGTGGCGACCTCAGGGGGCAGTGCCAAGGCCATCTTTGTTTCGGGGGTGAGCAAAAGGAGGCCTGAAGAGAGCTGTCAGGGAGGAACATGCAGCGGGCCCACGGAGGATGCCACACAGCACCACTGGGAGAGAAGGTATCAGCAAGCCACGGCTGCTCGGCCCTCCGGCTGGGCTGCCATGGCCGGGCAACACTGCCTGGGCTGCGTGTAGAATGACAGGAGGTAACCGCTGGGCACAGGCCTGCAGCTGTCCACAACACAGCGTGTCCCGACACAGCGGTCTGTGCTGCGCCTCCGTCCAGGAACGCGAGTGGTGCAGATCCCAAAGGCCGCCTCAGCACCCATCCTTGGCCAGCACTGTGCTTCGCAGGGCTGCCGCTGAGTCCCTCAAAGCCCTCCTGTCCCACATCACACCGATTCCAGCCACCACACTGCAAAGCCCTCAAGCCCACTGAACCTGGTTCTCTTCCGCTTGCCGGCCTTGCAAGCCACTTCCTGAGCTCGGGAGCAGAGAGGAGCGTCCAGGGCTGAGGAGCAGCTCGGAGTCCCTGCTGTGTCACCTGCAGCGCTGGCCCTCTTCTCCACCCACAGCCTTTCCTTTCCGTCAGAGACAAGGCCATGGCGCCCCCTGGAGGCCTGGTGAGGGGTGAATTCTGACCTCAACCAGGCTGGTCAGGCGCACAGTTCAAGCAGCCCTTGCAGAAGGCACAGGGGCCTGGATGCCCAGCAGCAGAGCAGGCTCAGCCTTCGTCCCAGCAGCGAGTGGATGGCTGAGCCTCAGGCTGAGCTGGGAAGCAGGGTTAGGAGGTTGCTGACTGTGGGGAGTCCTGAGCCAGACCCCAGGGTATGAAGCTCTACGGAGTGGGGTGGCGGTGGTTCATGGCAGAGTGGGGTGGACAGCAGGCTGGAGATGTGTCCAGCAGTGACATTTCCCAGTTTCCGGGGCTCAACCCAGAAAGACAAGCAGATGAAAAGAAGGAAGAGGGAGAGAAGGGCAGAGGGAGGCTGGGATCCACAGCCTCCACATTTGTGTCAGGAGAGCTGCTCCTGCATCCCACCTTTCCCTTCCTTCTGCTCTGATGCAGTTCCCTGCATTTGCCCCACATCAAGGGGAACCCTAAGGGTAGCAGCTGCAACTTGGCCCCACACGCCAGCTTGCCACTGTCCCCTGCACACGGTTCTTACCCTGTGTGACAACAGTGTGGCCACTGGAAACGGCCTATGTCCTAAGCTGTGATTCCCCGGGGGAGGAGGTGAGAGTGGCGCCTCCCTGTTGGTGCCCATTTCTCTCTGCAGCTCCCATCACGGCTATGGAACTGAGCTGAAAATGACCACAAGGGGCCTGACCTTCACCCCACCACCGGGCTCACGTGGGAGACATCAGACAGCCTGGACCCCCAGCACTCCCACTCCAAGGGGTAGTAGCCCCTCCAGCTCCCCAAGCTGCAGGGGCAGCCCCTCTGGCTCCCCAAGCTCCAAGGAACAGCCCCTCCGGCTCCCCAAGCTCCAAGGAACAGCCCCTCCGGCTCCCCAAGCTCCAAGGAACAGCCCCTCCGGCTCCCCAAGCTGCAGGGGTAGCCCCTCCGGCTCCCCAAGCTGCAGGGGCAGCCCCTCCGGCTCCCCAAGCTGCAGGGGTAGCCCCTCCGGCTCCCCAAGCTGCAGGGGCAGCCCCTCCGGCTCCCCAAGCTCCAGGGGGCAGCCCCTCCGGCTCCCCAGAACCCTGCCTCGGCACCTCTGAACCAGGACACAATGTGCCAGGTAGAAGTGCCCACAGTGCTCCACGGCCTGCTGAGGACAGGAGCGAGGAACCAGAGCATGGCGTTGCCATCTCAGCTGCCCGAGGGACAGTGCAGGCAGAGAGGGGCTGAGACGAGCAAATGCCACATTGTGGGGTCTGTGCTGGGACTCCCTGCAGGATGGCCCAAGATGAGGCAGGCTGCCTTCTCCATGGATGACAGAGCTCAAGATGGTAGAAGATGCTTAGCTTGTCTTCACCCCAAATTTCCACTGCTGGGGTGACAGGAGAAGCCACCCTGGGACCAGAGCAGCCTCTGTCCCCGGCCTTCGGGAAGCAGCTCTGGGGGCAGGTGCCTGCAGGACCAGGTGGCGGAGGGCGGGGGCTTCCCCAGTCACAGATCCAGCTCCCACTCCTGGACTCCTCTGCCTCCCACCCTGCCCTCTTCCCCCTAGGAAACGGCAGGGCCTGTGCCTGGTAGGAAATCAGGACGGGGTAACACCTGCCTGACAGTGGTCTGCAGCTTAGCTTGCTCTAGGTCCCTCTGCCCTTCACACAGGCTGGCAGCTTGGCACACAAGCCAATCGGAACGTCTGTACTCAGGAAACCAACCTGGACCGCCCCGCCACCAGCCCTTCACCCATGCGGCTGGGACCCAGCTGTGCAGCACAAACCAACAGAGGCCGCTTGCAGAGCCTCGAGAGGGAAGCACGCGCCACTGCCAGCGCAGGCACTGTGGAGATCTCGGAGGGACCAGGAGAGGCACCGGCGGCTTCACGGGCGCCTGCCTTCACAGAAGCGCCAGGCAGACAGGAAGGCACAGGGCTCCAACTTTGCCAAGGCCTGCACTGAAATTCCGAGAGCATCCCCCACTTTGCAATTCCTGCGTGGGTCCATCAGGTTCATGTCCACGACCTCACTCCCATGACTGACCCCTCACACGAGGGCACTCACCTGCAAAGTGGGACCTCCATGTAGGTGGACGGCCCAGCTCGAGGCTCTGTACTGGTTAGCTGGGTGATGACACACTCCTTCCAGTTACCCAGCTGGATCCCTGGACTCTCCACACTTTTCTTTGTCAAAGCATTTTGTTTTAGGGATAATTTGAAAATTCCCAATGTTTGCCCAAACAGGTAAATTACTTGCTGCTACTGCTGCTTTTTAATTTGCTCTTCCTGGGCGCCTGGGCTAGTGGGCCGTGGCTCTGTCTATGGCTGGGCCTGCAGTGCCCTCTAGTGGCCACAGTCACAATGCCACATTGCATCTTAAAAAACAAACAAGGCAACAGAGCAGCCTGTGTGGAAAACTACTGGCTGACATTTGTCATCCACGTACCACACAGGACGGCCCTGCGCTCAGAGCAGCCAGCAGGCCTCAAGGACGTGGGTGTACTCATCCCACCTCCTCCGCGGCTTCCTGCTCTGCGCCATCCCTGTGCCCACTGCCTCGCACTGTCTACTCGGGGCGCCTCCCACGGATCTCCCAGCACCCAGCAGAGGCCGCTGTGTGCGGACTCACATTCCAAAGTCCCACCCAATTCCAGCTTTGAGTGTTCATGTGGTTTTCCCCACTTCATTTGGTGCAATAACATTCTGTTTGGCTTACAGAAATGAACAAAAGCTTAACGTTGGAGGGTGACAGGCATCAAGGGCCAGTCAGGGCTGTTCCCTGTTCGATCACAGCATGCAGTGGCATGGTCGTGCCCAGAAGCACGACAGCCGAGAGCTCGCCTTGGCTTGAGGAGTGGAAAACGCACCACGCAGACGCTGGCAGCTGCACCTGCTCTCCTCACCCTCCTCCGGGCCTTGTCCTGCACACGACTCCACGCCAGCTCTGGCCACGGGCACTGCTCAGCAGCCTCTGGTGCCCACAGAGCTCCCACACCTGACCTCACGGTGCCCACTGTCTGACGTCCTGCCCACGTGCCCTCTGCTCCTCGCTCTCCCACCTGATCAAACTAGGACAGTTCTTCTCCACAGGCAAACATACATCAATTTGGCTTTTTTAAAGCAATATTTATATTCACTTACCCATTTATTGGAAATGCAGAGATCTCGGCTGCTCTCCTCTCCCAAACGATCCCAGGCAGGACTCAGCCACAAGCTGCGGTCGTGCCGACGTCTTCCACGTGGTGGGCGGGGCCCGTCTGCAGCCATCACTCGCTGCCTCCCAGGGCACATCAGCAGGACGCTGGCACCAGGGGCCGAGGCGGGCACTCTGAAACAGGATGCAGGAGTTCCCAATGGGGCCTCACCGCAATGCCAGACACCCGCCTGGCACGTGGCTTTCGGCAGCAGGGCCCACCGCTGTGCCAGACACCCGCCTGGCATGTGGCTTTCGGCAGCTTCACACACCACCAGCTCCAAAGCTTTGCCCAGCCCTTGAGTTCTGTCTAGCCTCCTGACAACCCTCTTGCATGTGTCACAACTCCCAAGGCCCAGAAGGGTATCAAGTGACCTGCAGCTTGTCCCACCAAAGCTGTGCATCTGTCACTGCCCCCGTCTCAGGCCACTGCACAAAGGCAGCACTGCGTCCAGCACCAGCTGGTGCCAATCCGTCTACCTGCTGACATGCAGCCACTCCTGTCCTCTCGCCTGCAGCTACTGAGTCTGCCCGTTCATCTCTAGAATACCCCGTGATCTCAAGGGACAGACATGGGTGCTCCCCGGCGTCCTGTCCAACCCCGGCTTGTGGCCACAGCAGCCCCGCAGCAGCACTAGGCAGGGCCCGTGCTGCTCCCTGCCTCCAGGCCTTCGGTGCTGACTTGGGGACCGGGCCCCCTGGTAAGGCTCTTCACCCACGGCTTTGCTGAGCACCTACCCGGGGAAGGACGAGCTAGAGACGCCGGCCAGCGAGAAGGCTGTGCAGGACTGCGTGCGACACTTGTTCTGGTTACTCAAGCAAGCACAAGGCAGGCACAACAGAGCTTATCCAGCGCCACTTCGTAGAGGACAACAGTTGTGACTGGGAGGATCTCAGAGAACTCGGCTCTCCTGCAGGGGGCGGCACCAAGCGCATGCTCACTCCGCGCAGCCGCCGGAGCCTGCAGAGCGTGCTCACAGCGCGGGAGTGTGAGTGCGCCAGGCAGACAACACTGCGGCCGCGCCTCTCACCACGCAAAAAATGTGCACGGCTTAGTTTTATTCTTTTTATTATAAAAAACACATACAAGAGTTTTAAGAAATGATGAATATAAGACAAATCAGAATCACGGCGAGTTATTAAACCCATTTTCTATGTACAAATACTAAAATTCCGAAAGTGGAACATCACCAAATGTGAGTCCCATCATGGCGCTGTCGTCCTTATGTACAGGCAGGGCTGTGAGTGCCGCGCGGCCCACGCGCTCCCAGGCGCAGACTCGGCCCTCCACTCTGCTCTTCCACAGTTAGATATCTGCAGGGGACTTTGGGGACAGGGACAAGACGTGGCATGGGACACTTCTGCTAAGGACATGTGCCGCCCTGCCAGGTCATGCGCCACGCCACAGCAGCGCCACGTCACTGCCCACTGCCAGCGAAACAGCAGAAGGCTGTTCCGGATCTTTGCTAGCCAATCAACGGTTCCCTTCCGCACACAAAGCCCAAGAACAGCTCAAGAAACGAATCACGAGTTTATACCGTTTAAGTTCATTATAAAATAACCACTCAATCGTAAAAAGCCACGAACAGGACACTTTCTGCAGCACAAAAAGGGCTGAGTTCAAGTTTCTGTTTGATCAAGACCCAACACAATCCATCCACCACAGAATCACAACAGCCGTACATGAAACGCACTTATGGAGAAACTGGGCAGACCGCTGGTCTCCTGTCTCCCCGCCAACCAAGCGGGAGCGCCTCCTGCCATCTGTCTGCCTTAGGTCTTCCTGTTCCGGGCCTCAGTCTACACTGGGAAAGCCGAGTCCGAGATCCATCTACACAGCAAGGAAAGGCACTTCTGCCGCCACAGCCACCGCCCGGTCAGCCGCGCCCCTCGGCACTCAAGGAACTGACTTCCTCTAGGTAGCTGGTCACGGCGCACGGGATGCTCCTAGAAGTCTTCCTCCGCCAGGCTTCCAGGATCTTGGCAATTTCCGCTGGATTGCTGGGACTCAGGTCGCAAAGTGCATATACAGCTGCTAACTGAACACCCCACGGAATATCTGAAACAAACGCTCACATCGGTCAACAGGTAAGAAAATGCTCATTATCCAAAATTCTAAGGTTGTCAACTACCATAAGAAAACTCAAATACACAGTGTTTTTGTTGGCAGGGAGAACTAAATGTAAAAGAAGAATCTTACACAACAAAAGCGTACATTTATAAAGCGGAGGAAGAACCTCAGGGCAGCTCTGCTATCGTCTTCCTCCCTGGGTGCTGGGGAGGGCGCTGCCGGCACAGGGCATGCATGGCTCCAGCCCCACGCCCCTGCTGTGCCGGCACAGGGCAGGTCTGCACAGCTCCAGCTCTGCTGCCCTGCTCCCTGCCAGCTGGGTGCTGGGGAGGACACAGGTGCCTATGACGGCGCCAGCCCCGCTGCCCTGCTCCCTGCCAGCTGGGTGCTGGGGAGGACACGGGTGCCTGTGACGGCGCCAGCCCCGCTGCCCTGCTCCCTGCCAGCTGGGTGCTGGGGAGGACACAGGTGCCTATGACGGCGCCAGCCCCGCTGCCCTGCTCCCTGCCAGCTGGGTGCTGGGGAGGAGACACGGGTGCCTGTGACGGCTCCAACCCCGTCGCCATCACCATCACCAAGACTCGCTCTGAGACATGGGATTTAAGAAGACGCAGATCCCCAAGCCTGTCAAACAGATGATTCTACCAGATGCCGCGTGTAAATGCGTCTGCATGTATGAGAAAGGAAAAATATCAAAAAAACGAGAAAATGAAGACCTGCCCTGCCCACATTTTTGCCTGTCAGGTTATACAGCAGGGGTCCGAGATGGGCTAAAGATGACCGTGCGTTACGTAGCTCTCCCATTTAGGGGTTTTTAACTGAAGTGTAATGCATTAACAAGGAACTGACAGAAGTGGTTCAAACAGTGCAGCGTGGCTTTTCCTGAACGGCCTGCTGCCCGCCTGGACAGGGCGGCTCTGCCCTGGGCCCGTCCTGCAGTCTGGGCGGCTGGCAGTGCTTCAGGGCCCTGTTGCATCACAGTCCGAGCGCTCTGTGCACGCACAGCGAGAGGCCAAGGGACTAGACCAAGTCCAAGCAAGAGAGCCATCTGCACTTCACCCTCACCTTACTGACTCCTGACAGGTGATTCTGCAACACACATGCATTTCCCTGACAGACATTGGCATGGCCTGTGCTGACATCCCTGCTCCAAGTTTCAGATTTTGGAGAAGTTCACGTGATGGTTACTCAACATGCATTAAAAATAAATAAATAAATAAATAAAATAAAAATACCAGCTCCGGCACAATAGCCTAGTGGCCAAAAAGTCCTCGCCTTGCATGCCCGGGATCCCATATGGGCTCCAGTTTGTGTCTGGCTGGTCCACTTCCCATCCAGCTCCCTGCTTGTGGCCTGGGAAAGCAGTCGAGGACGGCCCAAAGCCTTGGGACCCTGCACCTGCGTGGGAGACCCGGAAGAAGCTCCTGGCTTCAGATCAGCTTAGTTCTAGTTGTTGCGACTACTTGGGGAGTGAACCAGTGGATGAAAGATCTTTCTCTCTGTCTCTCCTTCACTCTGTAAATCTGCCTTTCAAATAAAATAAGTAAATCTTTAAAAAAAAAATGCCACCACCACAAAACCCATATATTCAAAAAGAAATGCAAACAGGCTCATTGCCTTCCACGCCACTTTCCCTTTAATGTGCAGGATCTGAGACGCTCAGGGCACAGCCCCCAGGCAGCTTATCCTGCCCCACAAGTGCAGTCATCCCACAGGGAAATGAGCCCAGGAGGACCTGGGGCTCCCAGCAGGTGGCCCCTGTAGGCGGGCACCCTGGGCACACACACGGTGTCCTATATCTGAGCTTGCCCCCTGGACTCTAGCTTCCTCACATTCAGCAGGAACCGGCTGGGGCGGGCACAGTGTGTCCATTGCAGCAGGCCCCGTGGCACAGCTTGCCCTCCAGTCACCCATCTGGGATGCACAGGAGCACCCAGGTATCCTGACGTCAAGAAAGCTGCAGACGGACCCCTCCCCGCCCCCCGCAGCATTCCCCGGTGGCTCAGGCTCACAGTCGCCCACAGCAAAGTGGGGACAGGGGCCCATCCCTTCAGGACTGTCGGGACTGTTGTAGAGCGTCTAAGATGTCACTCTGTGTATGTCTAAAATGACTGTACAATATTTAAAATAGAAGCTAGATGGATCACCAAGAAGGATGACGCTCTTCCCAGAGTGAGAACCGAACTCTCCCCAGGGGCCTTGTCCACCAGCACCTCACACGTGCGACCTCCCGTGGGCGCACTGCTCATCTCCACTGGCAGGGCTCTGAGCAAGGGGAGCTCTCTGCCAGAGGCCAGGACCCCCAGGGTGAGCGGGACCCTCACACATGCACTCAAACTCTATTGAGGACGCTGGTTCACATGGCCAACCTACAAGGCACAGTTCAGGGTGTGGCACAAAGCATTTAACAAGAGAAGTGCAAACGGTCAGTAACTCATCTCAACAAACAGAGTGTTACCTTCATCCTGAGCGTGCTGTATGAACATCCCGATAACCGAGCTAATATTCTTCACAGCAGATGGAAATCCTTCCTTCAAGCCCAACTGGCCCAAACGCCCTGAGAAGCAAAATAACACGGAAGTAATCTCAGTGCATCGCTTTTTTTTTTCAAATAACATTATGTACTGTAACAAAGTCCAGAACTAAAATGAGCTTTGGTGAGGCCTGGTTAGACAGAATGACAAGCACCGTTTGTCCACGAACAGCGATGGGGGGCTCTCCAAGCATCGGTGCCCCCCACTCAAGCAGCACACTGCGTGGCTCTTCCAGGACAAGTGTGGTTCCTTTCAGCAGGACAAGAGGAACTGGCTCTGACAGGCCAACAGGTCAAATCCAAGGTCCCTGCGGCTCCGACAGAGCCCCTGCCCCACTGCCAGCCGTGTGCGGCCCAAGGAGCTAATTTCATCTAAGCACAGCTAAAGCAACCAGAGGTGTCATTGCTCCGGTCCCTGTGGATCCTTCACATCTAAGCACCTGCCGTGGATGCAAGCTCCAAAGGAGAATCCTGCAAAGTCCTCCTGTTCTGACTGTCTCCCTAAGCAGGAAAGGCACTGTGGAGGGCAGTTCAGATGTGTTATGTCAGTGTTACATTGTATGTTCCTTTCTGTTCTTCTATCTCTCAACACTATAGATGTGCTACGGGTTACCACGGAAGTCCAGTCCAAGAGCCTCATCTCCATGTTGAATATGAAGAAACCAAAGCACAAAACACTTAAGTAATTTTGCTTTTTCAAAAATATTTATTTGAAAGAGTGCAGAGAGAAAGAACACAGAGACACCTGGATGGAAAAAGGGAGGGGTAGCTGCCACCCATCGACTCACCCTCTAGATTACAGTAATGCAAGGGCTGGCTCGAGCCAAAACCAGGACCAGGGACCTCCATCCAGGTCACCCCCACGACTACTGGAGCACACACATTTGGACTACTTTCCACTGCCTCCCCAAGTCACCAGCAGGGAGCTGGGGCTTGAACGGCTGCTTGTGATACGTCAGTGGGAGCCATTTCACATGCTGTGCCACGATGCTGGCCCCTTAGTAACTTTTACTGCGTTTATCCACTATGCCAATCTCCCTAGTGCTTCCATGTGCCCTGAACGCTGTAAAGCACAGCACATGTTCAGTATATAATTAGTGATTACTGAAGAAAATTACTCTTTCAAGAATATAAGGTAATCCCTGATTCACAGTGACTCTCTAAGTGTCTGGACAATCCCACACCGCCCTTTAACGCAGACCGAAAAGGAATCGACTCCTGAGACCAGGAGCCTCAGCTGATGATCCTTCAAAGCGTGCCCTCCAGTGGGACGAGGCCAGGACCTAGGTGCACTCACGCTGAGGGAGGCTGAGGGAGGCTGAGGGAGGGCTCCTGATGGATGTGGGCTCCTCACAGGTCAGACTCTGGGCCATAAGGGCTGCCTTTCTTGCAACTGGAAGTGCGAGCACCCAGGACTACCGGGAGCCACCATCAGGTCGTGGACAACAGGCTCGCCAGGAATGCCTCCAACACCTGCTTGGAACCAAGTCTGCAGCAGAAGTGGGACCAGCAGCAGTACCACGACCTCGGTTCTCATTCCAAGGAAAGCTGACAGACTTGACAGGAGAATGCACAAAATCACCAAGTCCTGGCTACTGGCGTCGAGCTTTCCTTCTGGTCCCGGTGAACGCCAGGTGGGCCATTCAGGATCGCATGGCGCCCCTGGGGGCAAATGCATAGCATTGAACTCTACATACCACTGAGTCTGTCTGGGCCGTGCTACTCCCTTCCCGCTGCATGAGCTGTCTCAGCTTCAACTGCAAAGAAACGAGCGTGCCAAGGTCACGTGCAGTAACACTACTCCAGAGCAATGCACGCACTCCACAGAGCAGGCTTTAGCGCCACTGCTGTAAGGTGGTCACACATCTGACCACTGCTAATGCAGCGTTCACATCTCAACACTTGGGAACAGTCATGCGCCCGGACAGATGCCTAGCCTCAATTCCTAGGGAATAAAAATCTCAATAATAAGAACACTGCAAATTTGGAATTAAGAATAAAGACAACCTGGGGGGAATCAGGATGGCTGAATAGACAGGAGGGGAACCCTCTTTAGCCAGTCAGTTTCAGAATAAGAAAGAACATGCTTGAGGAGGGAAAGCTGCTGTGACAGACTGGGGCAGCAGGCAAGAGGTCTCTGGGAGCCAGCAGAGAGTGGAGACCGTGGCAGCCCAGCACCTGCAGCTGCTCTCCACCGCTCCGAGCCTCTGGCTGGGGACATCTCCTGCCAGGACAAGTGACCTGCATATTATGTAGCAGAACTCAGGAGAGTGCCTGAGCGCGGGGACTGAGCACAGCCGCTTTCCTGGCTCTTGCTTACGTCAGTGCATACTGCGGACTGGCCCAGCCCAGTCCGCCCTCACACCTAGCCCACACATGAGAATGAGTACTGCATCCCAGCCTGGCCCGGCCTGAGCCCTGGCCCTCGTGCTCACCAACAGGAGCTGCAGCCTAGCAGGGGGATCCCCAGATTCCTCTAGCGGGCCTCTTCCCAGCCCTAGATGTCACGTGTGCTGCAGCCCAGACTGAGGTGGCCAGCCCCTGGTCCTGGCACTCACTTGAGGGTCTGCAGTTCTGACCGACTGTCCTATACCCATTCCAGCTCTCATTAGCGGGTACTAAGTGCATTAACAGTTGCATTTGCGAAACAAATGTTAGATTACAAATAACGTGCACTAACATGAAAAATTTTAATCTGTAACAAAGACGTAAGGAAGATTTAAAACACAACTTACCTATCAGCCTCAGTATCGATGCTATAATAATATCAGGAGTATATGTAATGTTCGTGTGTCCCTTTCTGTACTTTATCCACTTGTCCATCACAGGCCACAGTTCCTTACTGAAAACAACACGAACAGGTGTGTACCAGTTACTGCTTCAATGAAAATGATCTTAGAAATAAGCCCACGTGCCAGTGGGTTGAGACAGGTAACTACTGAGTATCTAACAGACCCCAGATGCTCACATTTCCAACTTTTTAGAACTATCCGTACCCTCACTGGCTCAAAACAGCTACACACATCCACACACGCTTGTGTCTTCGGTCTGTCTTAACTGCTTTTATCAGGCTTTGCACAGGGAAGCTTAACAGCACTCCCACTGTCACAGAATGAGGACGTGGCAGTCTGGATTCCCACTGGGCCTAGCAGGTGCTCCCTGTAGAAGCCCAGTCATCTGGGAGGCTCACAAACAAACAACAACAGTGGGTGCAGAAAGAGCTAACCCAGACTGGAACTGCAATCTCAAGAACCAAACCACAGTCGAGGCAGAAACAAGAGATAAACTTCTAGCTGAAAACAGTCCCACTGCCTCTTTGCTTTCTCTTCTACCAAAAATTCATTAGCTTCTTACACGGCACTCATGTCACAGCACTAGAAGCGTTAAGTGCAGACAAAACATGACACAAAGGACACTAAATCACTGCACGTGAAGCAGCTCAGAGGATGCCGACTCCTGGTATTGGGCTTTTCTCAGTAAACACTTCACCATCTCTGCGGACCTGAGCCGTGTGGTGGGGGAGGAGGCAGGGTCTGCAGTGCGCAGGCCACGACCCTGACGTCCACGGCGGTGTGGACGCCGTGCACAAGGGAGCACTGGCAAGACCAGGGGTGTCTCCTCCCCGCTAACGGGGGCCGGGGGGAAGGAAACCCGCCTCCTGGGCTCCCACGAAGCCTCACAGACACACAAAACCCTACTTAAGTACGCATCTCAACACTGCTCTGCCTGGTACACAATGGGCACGCGGATGCTACTCTTGCTCCTGTTGCTGGGGAGGACAGCTGAGCGTCACGTGCACGTGCGAGTGCCAGGGCCAGTGCCAGGGCCAGTGCCAGTGCCAGGGCCAGGGCCTGCGCTCTGGGCCTCAGTGCCCCGCACCGGCACTCTCAGGCGGACATTGCTGAAGACTGGAAAAGCCCTGAACCAGCTCATCTCAGCCCGGGTTCCACAAGAAAATGAAGACCTGTAGGAAAAGCATCTGAAAGACAATTGTGCCCATCCTCTCACAGACGAGACACAGGTAATGCCATAGTTGCAGGTGGACACAGAGAAGTTAACTCTTTCCAAACAGTGGATGACTCAGACCACGAGGGTTAAGTCTCTGCCAAGTGAAGCAAGCTGTCAGCCTTGCAATCCTGAGGATGCCTCCTTGTCTGTTACCTGTGGGTGCTTCCCCAGGTAAGCATGTCCCACAGGATGGGCACTCGGGGGCCAGTCTCCCCTTCCCAGGGTCGTTGGCTGGGCAGAGAGTGCATCACAGAGCACAAGACAAAGTTGAAAGAAGTACTACAGAACACAGACCCGGCAACGTGGTAGAGGTGCACACATTGTAACAATGTTCCAGTCACATAAAAACAACTACAGATACTTCAGTTGGTTAACAGACCTAAACAACAAGTGAAGTCACAAGTTAGCACTAGAGTCTGTCTTACGACTCCAGTAACACACTTTACTCTGAGCTTTCAAAATGCCCACCTTATGATGTTGTCGTGCGTCCAAATCCACTTCTGATGGCAGCAGAGCAGATCGATGGCAAACACGTACTCCCAGGCTTGGTCACTCAAGTCCTCACCAAACGTCCCACTGGACTGAAATTCTGTTTTTGGACATAACTGTATAGTCAAAAGCAGCTTGGAAATCATGAAGCCAACATCTACAGAAGCATTCTAGAAAATGGGGAAAAAAACAGAGTCTCAAATACAGTGTATCTCACGTTAGTGAACTCAACAAACACGGGCTAGACAATCATTTCATTTTTTAAAGAACTGCCACATGAAGCAGCTTTATTTTAAATAAGGAGCTATATGTATATTAAAATGATTATGGAATGGAAATTGAGAGATCATGGAAACAAACTACAGGCAGGACGGCAAAATCGAATCAGGTAGAAGAGCACTGAGGTACCAAGGTTGGCCCTGCCCTGAGAGGTACGGGCGGGCGGGGTGGCACAGGTGGAGCCGCCACTGCAACGGCCGCATCCCCCACAGAGAACAGCAGCCGAGATCTGCCCACTTCCAGTCCAGCCCGCCGCCAACGTGCCAAGGGGAGCAGCAGAAGCTGGCTCAAGTGCTTCCATCCCATGTGAGCAACCTGCATAAAGCTGCCAGCGCCCAACTTCAGCCTGGCAGCCACTTGGGGAGCGAGCCAGCAGTGAGAAGACTTCTCTTCTTTCCCCTTCCCCCTTTCTAGGTCACTCCGCATTCAAATACATACACACACACACACACACACACACACACACAGCTAAGCAGAAAAAGTGAAGCACTTGAAAATGATTCTTGAGATTCTGTCCCCTTTCTAACATTGGAGAACTGTTAGCTTTTCCTGAAAATTCACACAGTTGAATGAGACAGCGCCGGCCTGCTGTCATGTGTAATGCTGACTCCCATCCCAGTGCCCACGAGCTCGTGCAGGAAGCAGCAGGAGGGATGGGCCTTCCTGGAGGGACCTGGCGTGGACGAGTCAGAGGTTTCCGCTGACCGCTGGACAGAGCCCGGCTTGTCTAGACTGTCGATTTTAAGCGTGATTTTACACGTACATGCACTATTGTCAACTTGATTTTCACTACATAAAATTAAAGAACATCAAGCTAAATGTTACCTTAACATATTAGTAATAAAAGAAAAAACAGAAAGGTAACATGGTAATAGCATATGCAGCACAGAAATTCCATCTACAGGAGAGACACTGATGAGAGTGAGACTCTGCAGAGAGCTGCGGCGTCTTTTCAGAGAGCCTGCTGTAGAGCTGAAGTCTCCCACCAGCGCTGAACTTATCTAGGGATCTCGGTCACAAAGCAGTGTAAAAATCAGATTCTATGAAGATAATAACAGCGTTCAAATGTTCCTGAGTTCAGCAGAGAAGCCAAGAGCTGCAAGGCGGGCCGGCGCCGAGGAAGAGCCCACCTTCTCCCAGCCGAGGAACGCTCTCAGGCAGTTGAGCACCTCTCCTCGGGCACGCTGCCGAGCCACCAACTGCATCGCGTGAGAGACCACCGACTGAGAGACGAACACATCACGCCACATGTTGGCAATAAACAGAGTCAGCTTCTCAGATTCTGGAAAATCTATAACACAGAAAACAAGAATGGTTTATATGTATCAAGTGAAGAAAATAAAGCAAGAGTAAAATCTGTGTGTTACACTGCTGCAGGCTGCAGCGAAAGGGATCCCAAGGGACGCCCAGATGCAGTTCCAACTTCTGATTTCCCACATTGGCAAACTTTCTTTATATAAGGAAGAAATAAACCAGGACGCTGAGCAAGGAAGGAAACCTTCAGAGACAAAAAGCAGCAATCCTCCGGCCAGGCTTTCCCCACCCTCACACTCTCCACGCTGTGTCACTGCAGGCCATTTTATTTCAACATTTAGAAAATTTTGATTTTGTTTTATGACATAGTTCCATAGGCTCTGGGGTAGCACGTGCCTTCCCAAGGCCCCCCGCTGACCCCTCAACGATTTCCCCTCCAGTTTTTCAACGGATATGTTTATAAAGGTATGGATCACTCATGGAATTTTTTATTTGAAGAGATAAATTTTCTAAATTCTGGATGATTTCCTCTTCCTATAAATCCTTTCTATTATATGGCTTGTCTGCTTTTTAAAATTCACTTTAAGCAGATTGGCTCAGGGAAGGCATCAGGAATCGCAGTTCAGGTGGGACGTGTGGCCCTGTACCCAGTGCCGACGCGAGCTTCCTAATGCACACTCTAAAGGCAGCACGGCGACTCCCTGGGGCTGCTGGCTTCAGCATTCCTCGGCCCTTACTGCCCAAGGGGTGAACCTCAAGATGGGGGTACCTCTCCCCCAATGTTATTAGTAGAACCAGCACCACTGCGATCAACAGCTGTCAGCCTCCTGTCCCTGCACAAAGCCTTGAGTGCGTTAGCCTCGGAGTCACTCTCTTCCTTTGAGACTCATCCGTGGTCTTGCACAGAGCCCAGTCATCTGGAACCCGCCTGGTGACTGGCACTGGTTTGCAGTTACGGCTTTACAATCCCGGCAGCTATTACACCTGTGTACCAGGCAACACAAACCTGCCTGCTCTCACTTCCTGTCTAGAGCTCTCTTGCTCACTTTTCAGTTGTGAATTTTCTACACAATTTTATGTTTCAAGTTCAAAAGTCACTATGACAGGGAAAGCTTTCCTGACCCAGACTATTGCAAATCCACCTTCTACATAATCGATTCATCCCACAGGTCACGACCAACAAGGCAGTGCAACACAAAGGCGGCGATCTGGGTGCTGCGAGAACAGGACGCGCCGATGGCCGCGGGCGCATCGGGACTCCGCACACCGTGCAACTCTGCTTGTCGCACAGCACACACTGATGAATACAGAGATGCAGCAGGCCACTGAGCGCATTCAGGCCCAACACTGAGGACAAAGGGCACGTACACTTATCCTGCCTTCAAAGCCCTACACACGGCAAAGGAGCTGGACCTGCAGACAAATGTTACCTATGGCTTCATGATTCAGACGCGCCACGAGCCGGCAGTGAAGTCAGAGCCTCCTTTGGTTCCTTAGCAGAAGCTGCAGGGAGAGAGGAGCGCAGGACACACCCACAGGCTCAGCCCGCGGCCGAGTCACTGCTTCATCCCTCTCAGGGCTGCCTTGCCTAGGGTGGGCATGGCACCCCAGGACTAGAAACACAGGAATGACTGCCATTCTGTTTTTATGTAATTGGAAATGAATGTGTTCACTGAAGTAAATTCTACTGAAAACCAGGCTTGCTAGATACAGCTTAAGCTATTCATGGCCTCCAGTAAATGCACAAAATTAATATTTTACAAGCTACACAGCCATCACCACGCTGAACCCAAGTACAGCAACAGTTCACTTCCCAACACCAGCGCACTGCAGCCGCACATACCTTCCTTAAGCAGGCTGTAGCAGAACAAGCGTGCGCGCTCCAAGTCTCCGAGCTGCCGGCAGACGCCCACGTACACCCTGCACAGGGCGTGCACGTAGCTGTGCTCCAGGCGCGTCTTCTCAACTTTCAGTTCTGCGAGGATAGAGTGAAGCAAGCACTCTGCTAAATGCTGCAGAGAAACAGACGTCAGTGTGCCTTCTTGTTCCGATGAGCCAGTGAAAGCCCACCCCGCAGCAGCAGAGCATCCATCGGGCACACACAGCGTGCACTTGACCAAGGCAGAGCACAGCCACCAAGCGGCAAGCCCCGAGGAGTGAAACGGGGTCCCAGGCACGCGTTCTGAGATCAAGTGTGGGCTCACACAGTGGCCTGTACTACTGCACCGAGAGACAAGACATAGTGTCTTGTTTTCTGATAAAATGACCTTGGACTTGTGAAACAAATAATTTTGTGCCTCAAGGCATGCCAAAATTATGCATAAATATGGGTAGTTTTAGGCCTGAAAGATAAGGTCAACATTTTATCTGATGAACACAATTCATGAAACCTCCAACCCCTTACATTTCAGCTTTATAAAATGCTGGCCAGAAATGATTTGTGCGCACGTGCCTCCACCTCCCCGGTCTCGCACACTCAGCTCACGAGAGAGCCGTACGTGCCTCCACCTCCCTGGGGCTCGCACACTCAGCTCACGAGAGAGCCGTACGTGCCTCCACCTCCCTGGGGCTCGCACACTCAGCTCACCAGAGAGCTGCACGGAAAGCATGGCAGCCACATACCTTTTTGGTTGTGCTGAATTCATGAACAACTTCTTTCTCCTGATCTCTCATCACAGGCTTTTTGGAGATATTTCCTACGTACACGTGGCTACGGATGACAGGTAACAGATCAAAAGTCGACTCGGCAACTTTCCTCAGTGCGTCGGCTATGGCTTTGTCGTGGGACTCCACGGTCTCTTTGGGGTTTAAAGGCCTCTGTGAATCCGCACTGACAGCTGGAACACAACTGCTGGCCTCCGTGCTCACTTCACCCTGAGAGCAGCTTCCCTCCAGGCTCTCGTGGGCCCCGGCGCTGCCTTCCGGGCTCTCGGGCTCCGCGGAGCCCCTGCCCAGGCACAGTCTCTTGGCGCTCCTCAGCGGGCACGTCGATAATCCCCTTTTCCCACCGGATTCCTGCTGGGTCCCCGAACCCTGCGACTTGCAGCTCGAGTCGCCAGCAGAGCTACTCCCGGTTTTGACAAAGGCAGTCGAAGCCGAGGTGATGGCCTTGAAGGCCTTCAGCGCGCCGACGGGCCCCGACAAGCTCCCGGAGTCCGCACCCCGGGCCAGCCGAATGTTCCCTTTGAGGAGGCTGAGGGTGCGGGCCCTGGCCGACAGCTCGGGGTACATGCTATCCAGGATCTTCACGGAATTCTCCTGAGGAGGGGCCCCTGCCGTGGCGTGACCGGACGCACAGGCTGGCAGTCGGCCAGGCACAGGAAGCGCGTGCTTGGGTGTGGCTGCACAGAACTGCAGAGGGGATGAGGGTATCCTCTCGCCGGCCGAGGCAGCCGATGGAGAAGCAGAGGGAAGTGCAGGAGAGGTGTGCCTGGGGCCTTCCAGCCACGGCGATGGCACGGCAGGCGCTGGGGCTTCACACGACGGAGAAGTCTGGCCGACGGGGGAGATGGGTGAGGAGGGGCTGGAACTTGAAATCAGAGGAGAAAGAGGCTGCCAGGTCCTAGGGGGTGTAGCCACGAGGGGGGCGAGCAGAGGCGGCAGCGGCGGCCCCACCTCCTGCCGTATTTTACTCAGAGTGTCAGGAGAGCAGTCCGTGGGGGTGGAGGTATCGGCGTTGGCCAGGACAGGCTGAGCTTGGCTTCTCTGAGTTTTTGCGCCACCTCTTCCCTCTGGGCAGGACTGAGAAACTTCACCTGAATGAACTTCAGCTTTGCCTGATGCTAAAGCCTTGGCCGGCTTGCCTGCTGGTTCTTTGTTCACAATCTTGGATCGATTCTTATTTTTGCTACACGGCTCTAGCTTTGAGTTATAATACGTGTGATCAGATGCAGCAACCTGGGTCTCGAAAGTCTGATCATATATTTGAGAACTAATCCATATGCTAGGCTTAACAGGTCTATTCCGCAAGCGGCTTTTATCAAAGTTGGCGCTCTGACCGCTGCTTGAAACATCTTCTTGGGTACATGAAACGCTACTGCTCCCCAGAGGCTCCCGACTCGGAGGCCCAGGGGCATCGGCGTCTGGGCACTTCGCCATAGAAACGGCTGCAGTGGACTCGGCGTCCAGCTCGCTGACGTCCTCAGGAGCCTCACACACGATGAGCTGGCCCACATCCGGCACGACAGACACCCCACTGACGATGGTCCAGTTGTCTCCCTTCTCGATAACCAGGTTCTGGTCCTTATTTATAAGTACACTTATGACTTCAGAAGTCACCGTCGAGATCTGACACTGAAAGGCTGCTTGGGCGTCACCAGGCTCTCCCTCCGCTGTGGGCTCTGGTGCAGACGCGGAGCCCAGGCCCTCCTCCCCGCCCCCTGCCTGTCCGGCTGCACCTGGATGACCCTCAGGCCTGTCCCGGATGTGCCCCCGTGGTCCGTCTGCGACAGGCGAGCTGCCTCTGGCATCCACACTGGCCAGTGGCACTCCTGGGGCGTGGGAGGAGCTGGCTATTTCCTGAGATGGAACTCGCCCCTCCTCGCTCTCAGAGGGCATGCCGTGGTGCTGTAGGGGTGTCCTCCTCCCAGCAGGACCAGGGCAGTTCTCACAGCTGACCTGCAGCTCCTGCCCCATCTCGGTGAGAACTGCAGACAGCGTCTCCAGAGAACACTGGGCAGGTGGGCTCGGACTTCGGAGGGAGCTGTCGTCATCTTCCGACTCGATCCACTCTTCGGCGGCGCCGAGGGCTTCTTCACAGGGCTGCCTGCTCGGTCTTCCTGCTGACATTCCGTCTTGCTTTAGTTCTTGGCTCATTTCTCTATTTAAGGTTTCTCTGCCCGAGCATTCTGAGACTGAGTCCCCTGAACTACAGTCCTTTAATTGGCAACTTTCAAGAAACAACACCACATCAGATGCAGAAAGTCGGTCTATGTCGGGGAGAGTACTTATGGTGCAGTCCTCCAGCGCCGAGGCCAGAAGGCCCACGTCTACCGACGCTCCTGCCTCGGCCACGGACCCTCCCGCACTTCCCGGGGAGGCCCCCGAGGCATCCTGCTGGCTGCTCCCCACCGCGCCTTCGGCCTCGTGTTCACCCTCACTGCAGCTCAACGCTTCACTCTCCTCCGCCTCCCCGGCCTCCCCTCCTCTCTCCCGAATGCCCGTGTAAGCGTATAAAGGACCAGGAAGGCTACCCGGGGGTGCGTCTCGCGTTTCCTCCCCCTTGCTACAGAATGCTGAAGGCGCAGCAGTGCCTGCAGGGAGGAGCCAATCAGGAAAAGCACTGGTTTTCGACTTCAACCCCAAGAGTCCACGTGCATTGGGTGGTGTGTCAGGAGAACCGCTGTCAACAGCCAGAGCCTCACTCCCAGCTCTGGCCGCGACTCCACAGGGCATTTCCTCCCTAGGAAGGCCTCCAGACTCGGCCGCCTCAGAGGCGGGAGGCAGCCCGCCGCCTTCCCACCCACTGGAGTCAGGATCCGGGGCCTGCGGAAACCGCCTTTGCTTTCGCACCTCTTCCCGTGCTGCCGCTTCCCTCACCACATCTCGCTTTTGGGGAGGGATGTGCCGGGAGGAGAAAGCTGCCCGACTAGTTGTGGAACCGTCAACACTTTCTACTAGGGAAGAACCACTCGGGGAGTCGAAATCCAGTTTCTTCCAAGAGGTAGAAACTTCCGGAGAAGAGCTGCTGGCAGCCGCCACGGCCTTGAGCCGCGCCGCCGCGTCCTCCGCCTCGCCAGTGCGCTGTGCCACAGGTGGCGCTCGGCTGCCTTCAGGGTCGCCGTGCCGCGCCCCTGCAGGAGGCTCACTCCTAGCAAGTCGCTGAACCGTTTCAGGCCTTGTCTGCTTCATGATAACGGACACCTGATTAGGCAACTGAGCTGCAGCAGGTTTGAATTCTACAGGATTAGCATTTTCTCCACCAAGTTCAAGACTGGACGCGGATCCTCTGCTTTGCAAGGACGGCCTCCCCTGCTGTAACGGAAGGCCGATCTTTCGTGCATGCTCTGACTCAGCTGGCAGAACTTCCTCACCACTTCTCCTTAACAAATCACTGTGGTGCCAGGAAGTGCTTTTAGCAAAGCCAGAGGCGTTACTCACAGAGTCAGCCCGGGAGTTTATTACTGAGGTGAAATCTGACTTTGTCAGCCTGAGTTCAAGTCCTGGCCCTTCACTTTCACACTGTCCATCTTTTGTTGCTTTCATAAACACCGAGTGAGGAAAGCCTTTTATAATGTCCGTGCCCTCGCTCTTACTGCCCCTCTGGCCACCGACACTGGATATTCCCAACGCAGAGCTCAGAGCATGGAACTTGCTTTCCGGGTCACTTCCCGCTGCAGGACACCTGGGTGGCTCAGACCGCGCAGGTGATGTGTTCACAGCTGTCGTTTCCAATGTTTGCTCTGACGGACACAGTCTGGCAGGGATCACTGTGGTGGGACCATCAGTGTTACCAACAAACCGTGACTGACGAGACCAGGGATTCCTGCGAACGGACTGCACTACTGAGGTAGAGGAGGGACGCCGGGTCTCGAGGGGCCCCGCGGCGCGCACCCCGGAGCCTGCAGCATCGGCTTCGGAGCCTTGCACACCTGCGGCCTTCGCCGCTTCTCCAGATGCTCTCCGAGTGTGGTGAGAGATGGCCGCAGAGTCTGACACACAGGCTACGTCTTCAGTTACCGCCCACTTAGCAGATTCTGACTGGGGTTCCATGACTTTGGAGAACCGGGTTGCTGGTTCCGCCGTGGTGAGCTCTTTCAGTGACCTCTTGCCAAGGGCAGAGTAACACGAGGCTGCCTGCCCAGGGTCAACTTCCTTGTCTCGCTCTAGCCTGCCACAGAGCTCTGCCAGCCACACAGCCCTGGGAACAGGCTCCTCCGTCTGTACAGACTTGTCCAGTTCCCTGACCTCCATCCGTGCTCCTGCCTCTCTGGAAGCAGCCCTTCCTCTCCCGCCCATGACCTTGGAGGACTCAGCCTTGCTTTCCGAGCCTGAAGGTTCTCTCGGTGCTGCTGCTGAAGTCTCAAGTCCAGCAGCTCTCACTTGGTAAACTTGCCCTGCGTTCGGGGCTTGCACACACTCCTGTGCTTCGGGCTTCTCGTCCCACGTGCCACTTCCCATGCTTCTCCTGCGTAAGCCAAAGCAATCCTGTGATTCAGCCGAGTCATCCAAGACAGACTCGCCACTAGTTCTAGGCTGGGCTGGGTCGTCGTCGCTGGAGTCGGTATACTCTTCCACGTAGGTTTCCTGAAAGGTAATTGTTCCAGGAGTGAGCACTCATTTACCAAACCAATTAAAGCATACCCTCTAAGCCTACCAAGAGAGGGGTAAGCTTCTGAGGGCAGCCTCACTGAGGCGGGGCCTCTGCCTCTGGGCCCATGCTGCCTCCAGCCCTGTCCACTGCCATTTACAACTGCTTCTCTCCCAGATGCCTTTCAGCCCCAACCACCACTCCTCACAAGGCCCAGGGTGGTCCTCACAGAGGGTCCCAGCACCCGGGCCCAGGGTGGTCTGCACAGAGTCCCAGCACCAGGCCCAGGGTGGTCTGTATAAAGGGTCCCGACACGGCCCAGGGTGGTCTGTATAAAGGGTCCCAGCAGCAGGCCCAGGGTGGTCTGTATAAAGGGTCCCAGCACCAGGCCCAGGGTGGTCTGCACAGAGGGTCCCGGCAGCAGGCCCAGGGTGGTCCGCACAGAGGGTCCCGGCACCCGGGCCCAGGGTAGTCCTCACAGAGGGTCCCGGCACCAGGCCCAGGGTGGTCCGCACAGAGGGTCCCGGCACCAGGCCCAGGGTGGTCCGCACAGAGGGTCCCGGCACCAGGCCCAGGGTGGTCCGCACAGAGGGTCCCGGCACCAGGCTCACAGCCTCTGGCTTACTCTCCCTCTAGGTTCCTTTCCTTCCCCAATGTCACTTGTGTCCGAAACACCTGCTGCATGCCAGGTCACACCATGGCCCCGGGCAGCACCCTGTGGTCATCTCCTGCCATCAGCTGTCCCTGGTACTTCCTCTGACTGAATGCCACGTCTGTCATCTCACACAGCTCACTCAGTCCCTGGCTCCCAGGCAGTAAGGACCCATCCCTGACCTGCAGCTAGCTCCCTTCTGTGTGAAGGACATGATGCACAAGCCAGCTGGCATCCTCTAACTGCTGACAGAAACTGGCTCCCCCGAAAAGGCCTTTCCTCCCGACTCCAAGCTGCCGCACTCTGCAGGCCTCTCGGCCTCCATCTGCTCTTCACTCGTACTTGCTGCTTGCACAGACTGCCCCTCAGCATTCTGACGGAGACCCCCCAACCCCACATGTGCCTGCTGCGTGTCACCTGCTGAACCCAAATGCCTATGTCCCACTGTCTCCCTTCAGGCCCAGGCCTGTCTCCGAAGCGCGTGGCTTCTGCTCTCCAGGGAACCCTCCACCTCTCCTACGAGACCCCACCCCAGCAGGACGTCCTCTGTGTATTTTTAACCCTCCTTGACTCCTCCATCCCCCAGTCACCACAGAACTCACCGGGACAGGCGGTGAAGGCAAGGAGCCCGGGTGTGGGGATGACATCCGAGGGGGCGAGGGCACTGGGGACAGGAGTGGGGGTGGGAGTTTAAAGAAGTCAATTGCAGCTTGAAGATCTTTATCAAAGCTATGCTGCTGGTCAGCGAAGGCAGGCCTGCCACTGTGGAGAGCACTCTGCACGGGAAGCTCAGCAACTCGGTCATTGCTCAACACACGATCAGGACTGTGGCTGGCTCTGCTGCTCCTCTCGGGCTCCACGCTTTCATGAGAATCGCAGTCACCCTCCAGCTCCATGGACACGTCTGTGAGGCACGGCTGCGGGTCTGGGGTCCGGAGAGGACTTCTCTGTGCGGGGGGCAGAGCTCCGTCCTCCCCGGATGACACACATCTGGTACTGTCTTTGGCAGGCTGTTCTGTGGAGGGGAGACGGGAGGCAGTTATCAGACACTGACGGTATCAAGTAGACTCAATGCATGCGATAGTAAATTCAAACCAGTAGAAACATTTTAAATGTGAAAGTTGATTTCTAAACATTACCCTAGAAGTCTGTCTTGCACATTTGTGAGACACCTCACTGGCACACAAGCTGTCCAATGCAGAGCCAGGAAGCACCTGGAGTGGCAAGGGGCCTTGCTAAAGCACACATCCTCCAGGCGACCAGAACCTGGCAGAGGAACTACTCTGGGGATGAAGGCTGATGGTGTCTTTCCAATATGAAAAGCTCCACACGTTAACGCAATAGAAATGTCACTGTGGAAAGCCGAGATGCTGGTGGAGTCTTGTTTGGCTGAACTTCAATGAGGTTTCTGAATTAACACACATCACAGAATAAAACAATTATCTACAAAACTACTCCCATACAAATAAATGGATAAATAACTAAACAGTGGAGGAAAAAACAGCCTTTGCTTCCAAAAAATGTTGGTTAACAAATGTAGACAAAATTAGATAAATACAAAAGTCATTATTCAGCAAATACCAAAAGCAGTAAACACAGCAAGGTGATTTACTGCTGGGCACAAACATCTCTGGGTAGAAGTTTCAAAGGAAAAAAAACATTTGAATAATGTCAAAGCATCTTTCTCTATGAAGAAAAAGTCACTTCATTCAACACAGGGACCCGCAGCCAGCACTTTGTGCAAGGGAGCCAGCTAGCGCCAAGCACAAGAGCTGAAATGGATGCAGCCAGGTGGTTGGCGAGAGTCAGGATGGGGAGCTGGCCATGTCAGGCAGGGTTGCAACACCAGCTGGGAACTGGCGGAATAGAACAACTTGGAGAATTGCACCTCCCATTGGTGAGCATGAGAGCTGGGGCTGGGAACAGGCCACACTGGAGCACCTATTGGTGTGTATGTGGGCTGGGTCTGAAGGCAAACTAGGCTGAGCCAGTCTACAGCACACACTGGAACCAGGATGGGGTGCAAGTAATACTGTCACCTGCACCAGGTCACATGAGGGCTGGATGTGGGCCAGGTTGGGTGAGGCTGTTGCACCAGCCAGAAAACACTGTGACTGGGGCAGGCCAGGGTGAACAAGGTTACAGCACCTGCTGACAAATACTGAGACTGGGGATGGGCCATCTCAGACCGGGCAACACCCACTGGCGCATGCAAGACCTAGGGTTGGGAGTAGCCTGGTAGTGGAACTTTGGGGACTCCCGCTGCTGGGCCTCTGCTTCTGCTGGTAAGTGTGAGAGCTGGGACTGGCGTCAGGCTAGTCCAGACAGTACTGTAGCACCCTTCAGTTGGCGTATGGGCTGGTCAAGGAAGGTGGACCAGGCAGAGTGAGGCTGCAACAACCCCTGGCATAACATAGAGCCATGATGGGTACAGGCCAGATGTGCTAGACTGCAGCACTCACTGACAGTACAGGAAGTTGGTATGAGTTACTTTAGGCTGGAGCACAGTACCTCCTGGCAGGTACAAGATCCAGGGCTGGGAACTAGCTTGGTAGGGGAATTGTGGGCACTCTGTTGTTGGGCTATGGATCCTGCCGGCAAGCATAAGAGCCAGAGCCAGGGCTGAGGGTGATTCAAGCTGGTCAAGGCAGCAGCACCCGTGGGTGTGCATCAGAGCCGGATTCTATGCGGAATGTACTGGGCTAGGCTGCAGCACATGCTAGCACCACAAAACACGGGGCTGGGGGTGGGCTTAGTAGAGGCATTGGGAGCTACATGGAGCAGGCTGCAAAACCCACTGCTGTGGATGAAATCCAGGCCTGTGGCAGGCTGTTCTGGGCTAGTCCACAGCACGCATTAGCTGGTGTGAAAAGGCACCGAGGGCAGAACTAACCAGGCAGGTATAGCCACTGGTAGGTGTGCTGGCTGATGCACACAAGAGTTAAGTCTGAAGCCATCCAAGCAGTTTTCTGCGGGGACTCCCCAGACCACTGAATGAAGACCCTGGCCACGGAGCGCATGTATCGAGACTGGGCCTCCTCATCAGCTGATGCCTGTGCAGCGGAGAGCATGCCCAGTTGCACACAGAGGACATGACAGCCAGATCATCTAGGCCAGCAGAGGACATCAACTACCTCGTCAGAGGATGAAAAGCAAAACAGGTTGGATCACTCTCCTGGCCAAGCTTTGCAGCATGTGGCTGCACTAAGGTGGACGTGGTCAGCCACTAGACCTTGGAAAGATTCTCTCAACCCTGGAGCAATGAAACTGACAACTTCTCAGAACTATCAAAACCACTCAAGCAACACCCTCAGAACACTCTTCCCCACAGTGAGGTCTCTTAAGGTGCTATGAAATGAATATGCCCTATCCACGGGCACTGCACTTCAGACAGCAGGGAGCAGACCCCCTCTTCTCTCACTGTGGACACAGGGAGCAGCCCCCTCTTCTCTCACTGTGGACACAGGGAGCAGCCCCCTCTTCTCTCACTGTGGACACAGGGAGCAGACCCCCTCTTCTCTCACTGTGGACACAGGGAGCAGACCCCCTCTTCTCTCACTGTGGACAGGAGCAGACCCCTCTTCTCTCACTGTGGACACAGGAGCAGCCCCTCTCTCACGTGACACAGGGCAGCCCCCTCTTCTCTCACTGTGGACACAGGGAGCAGCCCCTCTTCTCTCACTGTGGACACAGGGAGCAGACCCCCTCTTCTCTCACTGTGGACACAGGGAGCAGACCCCCTCTTCTCTCACTGTGGACACAGGGAGCAGCCCCCTCTTCTCTCACTGTGGACACAGGGAGCAGACCCCCTCTTCTCTCACTGTGGACACAGGGAGCAGACCCCTCTCTTCTCTTACTGTGGACACAGGGAGCAGAAAAAAATGGAGACATTTGTAGCATCCACCTTCCTTCTTACCTTGACCCTGCTTATCCTAACCAGAGGAACACCTGAGCATGCATTCCTCTCAAGTACGTGAACGTGTGAAAATTATGTAAAAATATCATTAAAAATAGATACAAAGCAGCAAGATTAGCTTTGAAAACAGGACATTTCCACATCACTTATTCCAGACAGGATTTCCCAAGCAGAGGGAAACATCAGCACCACAGTGGCATCAATACACGGCACAATGAAACAACGGCCTTGTGTCCAACAGCTTGGGTACCAGAGCATCCGACCTGGGGAGCACAGACAAGGCGCTAAGGGAATTCTCAGCTGTTTCCGTCAGGAAATTAAAAGTACGGCTCGCGATGCAGCGGGCCCCGAAGCAGCCTTATTTTCTCTTCTACCCAGGAAAAGCTTGTGTAACTAACAGCCTCACCCTTCATAAATGTACTCGTAATAAAAATAGACTGCTAGTCTTTTAAATAAGATCTTTCACAATACAAAATCAAATACTCAAAATCCTGAGAGTACTGACTGATACAGAAGAATCAGAAGACATCTCCAGGCAGTGTCTCTCTGAACAAGAAGGTAGCACAACGCATTAATTCAGGAGCCGCAGGACTAGCCAGGTTCTCCCAGCGCCAGGTACAACCATGGTTATTCTGTTGTTCAGAATCACAGTCCATCCAGAAGACCCGTCAAATATGCCTTTGCATACCTGAAAAGTTCAAGAGCCCATGCAGACATTTTCCCAAGGGGAAGTCACACGCATTGTCTCTATAAATTCTGATACTCAACCTTGTACACATTCAGAGCAGCCAAGTAGTAAAGGGCCAAAAAGATAAACAAGAGACACTTTGATCTTACACAAGTCGGCGATCTTCTGCTAGAGGTAACCAGTACCCACTGTCAGACCCTCCATCCTGAAAGGACTGTAGCTGTGCATGTGGCAGAAAGCAGTCGTATTTCACAAGTCAAGAGGTTCAATCAAATGAGCTAGCAAATTACAAGAAAACGCATGAAGTTCAACCCCTGATGGGTTCATGAACGTCAAGATTCAGAAGTGGGTCCTGCCGTGCTCTGCTATCCCTGTCCAGTTCCCTTGATGACATTCTGATGCAAGTTGTCGAGAAGACCTAATGTAAAAGAGGGCATCCACTGGGCCGCAGGTCACTCTGAGGCGACAAGGAGTGAGGGATGGCTCAACGCCTCCCCCTTAGGTCATCCCCCTCCTTAACGCTGAGATCAAGGAGGTTTAACAATGCAACAGCAGTGGCGAGCGCGCCCACTTTCACGACAGAAACGCATTTCTAGGAGGTTCTCTCACCTAGGACACACCTGCTGCCCTCCCCTGGGAGTCTGTGTGCTGCGTTGATGCAGAGCCAGAGTTCCTTCAGCAGCAGCTTCACTTTTCCTGCGGAGACAGTAAAAACGTTCAAGTCATGCCGTCGGGCCAAAACATATTTCTGTGAAATGAAACTCATTAGGGACCTAGAGAGCTATCTTTCCTAAGCTCAACCCTTGTATATTACTTACTCACCGACAAAGTCCTGCAATGCCTCAGCTGGAAACCAACCAGCAACTCCTGGTTTGCTTGCTATTTTATTTGGGGACTTGAGGAAGGACTCAGAAGGCCAAGCCTACTTGTTATTAAAGCTGTATCACTTTCCCACGCAGGGGACAAATCAATCTTTAGCTCACACGTTTTCTTCATAGAATGCCATAAAACAGAGAAGCAAGTATTATTACCAACTTACAAGGGCATTTGGTGCTGCATTCACGTGTTTTACAACGAACAGTAGGAAAGTAACCCTAAGTTCTACGAAATTATCAGAAAAGTCATCAGAGTTGACCACGCTGGAATTCACCTGGGAGAGTTGGTGGACTGCAGAAAAGCCCATCAAAGGCTGGGAAGGACAACGGGATGGAAGATCAACAAGTATAAACGCACATGTGCTCAGGGCAGACGCACACCCAGGGCAAAAGCAGCACACGCTTTCCCAGGAAAGTGAAACGTGAGGGATTTGTGTAGATGTTCAAAGGGGTCTTGATCCCTCACGTGGTTAAGAATTCTTCAAGCAAAAGCATCAAGGGATCGCCACACCAGCACACTACAGCTTTAAATGAACTACATGCATCTTAAACATATATCTCCCTAGACAAAATGTATTCATGAAAATATGAGTAGCTTACAGTGAAATGCACATAAAAACAGAACTCACTCTCAATAAAACTCAAGAAAAGTAGTTTTAAGTACTTTATGGTCCCATTATAGTTTCTTTAAGTTTTACACCAATCTTAAGCATCTAATGAGATTAGCAAAATCCTTAATCCAGTTCAAAAGAACCCGAAAAGACTAACCTTGTAAATCCAAATAGGTTAGTCCTATATAAGCTGGAAAAAGTGCAGGCCACAGAAAGGGGACCACAAGACCGTGGAGGACACAGCCAGGGGAGCCAGACAGGCTGGACATTTACTGCCAAGCTCGCACTGTTGCTGCCTGTGACGTACATCTAGCTCTCAGTTTCAGAATTCTGAGATGGAGCAGCTCGTCCACGCCACGGTCAACCTTCCCCAAAGCCTGCCCGTCCACGCCACGGTTAACCTACCCCAAAGCCTGCCCGTCCACGCCACGGTTAACCTACCCCAAAGCCTGCCCGTCCACGGTTAACCTACCCCAAAGCCTGCCCGTCCACGGTTAACCTACCCCAAAGCCTGCCCGTCCACGGTTAACCTACCCCAAAGCCTGCCCGTCCACGGTTAACCTACCCCAAAGCCTGCCCGTCCACGGTTAACCTACCCCAAAGCCTGCCCGTCCACGGTTAACCTACCCCAAAGCCTGCCCGTCCACGCCACGGTTAACCTACCCCAAAGCCTGCCCGTCCACGGTTAACCTACCCCAAAGCCTGCCCGTCCACGCCACGGTTAACCTACCCCAAAGCCTGCCCGTCCACGCCACGGTTAACCTACCCCAAAGCCTGCCCGTCCACGGTTAACCTACCCCAAAGCCTGCCCGTCCACGCCACTTCCCAATGAAAACAGATTGGACCAATTCGCCTAGAATCTACAAGTTCTCCCTTGGCACTGACTGACCCCTGGCCTACAACAGCTGAAGCTTCTGGAATCACATCGTCAGTCAACCTTCACATTCCCTTTCAATTAATGTAAGGTAATTCTTAAGCACAAATTATTTAGATTCAAATGTTTTTGTTTTCATGCTAGCATTGCTTGGGATATCTTTATGCGTCATCTGAATTTCAGTCTGTTTCCAACGAGCAGAGATGAACACAGAAGTCATGCTGGACTCTGCACTGGCCGCGTGGCACCCGTGGCACGCGTGGCACCCGTGTCGGCTCAGGGAGCTCCTGCCCGTGACTTCCTCGTCACTGTCTCTCCTGGCAGTTCTCTGGGAATTTCTAACACACAGCTCCATCCTCCCCAATCCTACATATATATTTTTAGTGAGAGCAATAAACGCCAAGTTAGTGGCCAGACAGCAGTAAGGTGTGTGGCCCTGAGCTACAGAAAGCACGAGGTCGGGGAGACTTCCTCAGACCCCATTCAGTGTCTTACAACGTTTCGTCTTATAACAATTCATAGTCACATCCACGTGGGAAACATGGTCTCAGTGAAAACACCATTGTGAACTTACTATTTTACCCTATAAAAAACTCTGTGATTTTAAAATCACAGTTATTGCTTTTAAGACAGAAGTGCATACAAGAGGAGTAATCACCTAGGGTCATACACAAGCAGAGGTGTTAGGGCGCACAGTGCTGGGGCACGGCCTGTCACACACAAGCAGAGGTGTTAGGGTGCACACTGCTGGGGCACACACGGCCTGTCACACACAAGCAGAGGTGTTAGGGTGCACACTGCTGGGGCACGCACGGCCTGTCACACACAAGCAGAGGTGTTAGGGTGCACACTGCTGGGGCACGGCCTGTCGCCCGTAAGAGCGGTGCTCAGTGGGAAGCAGCACACACACGCCAGTGGCTCCTCCCCACCCCGGGTCCTGCTCCAGCACGGTTCTTTCCGACCTGGGCCTTTACACACACACCTGTGACTCCACATGCCACTCCAGCGCCATTCTTTCCGACCTAAGCCTTTCCTTAAACTCTGTCTTGAGACAACATACTACAGGTCTGTGACTCCAGGCCCTGCCTGACCTTACCGCTGTCTGTCTTTTGTACCCAGCACATCTAGTGAACTGATAACCTGTAATCTAATGAGAAAATCCATACTTCATGAAAGTATGGATCATACAAGCATATACAGACCTAACAAAAACTTAAAAAAAAAAAAAAGGCCTTTAACACAAAGCGTTTATTATAACCTGGCTTTTTTGCAGCTCTGTACCAGGGCAACACGGAATCTCCCAAATCGTTCCAATACTCCACAAAGGTTCTGATATACTCACTTCTATCTATGCTGCCGTACGAATCACTGGAGATCTGTGTTCCAATATGTCTCAATTCTAAAAACACACAGGAAAACAATTAAAACAAAACCATCGCACAATGAAGTAGTTTCCAAATAACTATTACCTAAACACTTACCCTTTTCATTCTTCTGTTTAGAAAATTCATCAAGCCTTTCCTGTGAAAACAAAACACTAATAATGTTTACGCTGCATACGATTACAGACACTCTGACTATGTAAAAGGTGGGACTTCACAGGTCAATGAGACTGGTCATCAGGGCCCTGTGTCTCACATCAGCTGCAGTCAGACACAGCAGAGTGCCGGAGTCAGGGATCAGCATGCGCACACTGCTGGATCAGGGATCAGCGTGAGCACACTGCTAGATCAGGGATCAGCGAGAGCACACAGATGGATCAGGGATCAGCGAGAGCACACTGCTGGATCAGGGATCAGTATGAGCACACAGATGGATCAGGGATCAGTATGAGCACACAGATGGATCAGGGATCAGTGTGAGCACACAGATGGATCAGGGATCAGCGTGAGCACACTGCTGGATCAGGGATCAGCGTGAGCACACTGCTGGATCAGGGATCAGTGTGAGCACACAGATGGATCAGGGATCAGTATGAGCACACAGATGGATCAGGGATCAGTGTGCGCACACTGCTGGATCAGGGATCAGTGTGCGCACACTGCTGGATCAGGGATCAGTGTGCGCACACTGCTGGATCAGGGATCAGTGTGAGCACACTGCTGGATCAGGGATCAGCGTGAGCACACTGCTGGACCAGGGATCAGTGTGAGCACACAGATGGATCAGGGATCAGTGTGAGCACACTGCTGGATTAGGGATCAGTATGAGCACACTGCTGGATCAGGGATCAGTGTGCGCACACTGCTGGATCAGGGATCAGTATGAGCACACAGATGGATGAAGGATCAGCGTGAGCACACTGCTGGATCAGGGATCAGCATGCGCACACAGTTGGATCAGGGATCAGCATGTTCACACTGCTGGATCTGGTACCTGTGTCTTCTTAAATTCCTTTTCGAGTATTTTCTTTTCATTTCTCAGTTGCTTGAAGTCCTCAGTCTGCCTGACAGCAGCCTCTTTATGTAAAAGGTACAACAAAGCAAGAAAGAAAACCAATTTACTAACATTACTACCATGGCAAATGAAACACTTAAAACCTAATCCAGCACACATGCTTTGTTAAAATTCTGAAACAGTTATTATAAAGTTACCATTGCTTCAGAATTTTAATAGCCTGGACTAAAAACAGGAATGTGTATTTTTAAATGCTGTTTATATATCGCTTCTTGGCCTTTTACTAAGATCAAGTGTAAATGCTGTTTGTAAAGTTAGAATTGGAGCAAAGCTTAACATAGTCACCAAACCACACAGCAATTGCAGCTTCTTCTGGTCCAAGATCATTTCACTGCACAACAGAAAGATGCCACTATTCTTCCATTTCAATAACAGCAGCAACCTTCAACTCTGGCCAATCTTTTCAACAAGCACCTCCAAAAAATGTCTACTGTGTCCTGGAATTCCCTTCAACAAGGTAATCGATTCTAAACCCACACTACTCTAAGCTAACAGAACCCATGTGCCCTTTAGGTATCTTTTCAGCGCTCTGCAGCTTCAGTAAAGTCCTTAACACAGGCTTTAGTTCTAGACTACTTACTACTAGGAGTCTGGTCACTACTGACTTTCCATGAGATGCACTATGTAACTGCGAAGGACACCAGCTGGGCCCAGGTTTGTCACCCAGTGGCCAGGACATCACCTACCCAGCGCTCCGCTTCCCCTCCAGCTCCCTGCTAACGCACTGTGAGGGCGGCAGGGCCGCAGGTGCACGGTCTCGTCACCCACGCAGGGGACCCACACAGAGCCCCTGGCTTCTGCATTTGGCTTGGCCCGACCCCGGGCACCTCGGTCACTTGCAGAGACCACGCACTGCTCACTTTGTTTCTTTTCCGACCTCCAACCCAACGCCCTGCTTCACAATACAATGAGCGTATCAATCCCACCAAATACACAGAACTAACGAGCTTGAGAATGTCGCTTCTTGGTAATCATTTTTTTAAAAAAGATTTATTTATTTTATTGGAAAGTCAGATATACAGAGAGGAGGAAAGACAGAGGAAGATCTTCCATTTGTTGATTCACTCCCCAAACAGCCTCAACAGCTGGAGCTGAGCCAATCTGAAGCCAGGAGTCAGGAGCCAGGAGCCTCTTTTGGGTTTCCTACACGGGTGCAGGTCTCAAAGCTTTAGGGCATCCTCGACTGCCTTCCCAGGCCACAGCAGGGAGCTGGATGGGAAGCAGGGACTAGAACCAGCATCCTTATGGAATCCCGGCCAGTGTAAGGCGAGGACTTCAGCCACTAGGCTACTGTGCCAGACCTGGTAATTTTTTTTTTTTATGCCATTTCACTTACTGGGGGAAATGTTTTTGTTACAGGAAAAAGAAAGGCTACCTCTCACTTTGCAAACACTATTGTGAATATTGCATAAACGCACAAGCATACAGCCTTCCAAAAACACTTCCTCAGTGATTATCTGCACTCACCAGCAAGGGAAGACAGTACTTACACAGAACATAGTAATGCACTTCCTGTATGCAGTCAACAATCAAAGCAGAAAAAAATGTTTCCTAAGTATTTACAGTTTAAGAAAAAAATGCAGCTCAGTCTAGACAAATCAGTAACTAGAAACAGGCTGAGCGACCACTATTCGGCTGAGTCCCTGAGGCAATTCAAAGGACATTTTTAGTTCACATGCAAAATGAACACTCAGCATCTGGGAAGGGGTGCACTGTGAATACAGAGGTTGGAAACCCACAGGGATCAAGATGGTCAGTGGAGGGCCCAGCACAATGGCTCAACCGGCTGCGGCTCCTCTTGCAAGTGCTGGAATCCCACAGGCGTTAGTTTGTGTTGCTGCAGCCCCACTCCCCGTCCAGCGCCCTGCTTATGGCCTGGGAAAGCAGTGGAGGACGGCCCAAAGCCTTGGGACCCTGCACCCGCCTGGGAGACCTGGAGGAGGATACCAGCTCCTGGGTTTAGACTGGCTTAGATCTAGCCAGTGCAGCATTTGGGGAACAAACCAATGGGTAGAAGACCTTTCTCTCTCTCTCTTCCTCTCTGTATATCTGGCTTTCCAATAAAGAGAAATACATCTATAAAGAAAACAAAACAAGAGCCAGTCACAGGAAAGAAAGCAGCTGTGTGCAAGGCCCGCTCCCCTCCCTGCCGCCACGGCCACCTCCTAGCTGCAGAATCGGGAGAAAAGGCCGAAGTTGACACACCAAGTTCCTCTGCGGCTCCCTTCAGAAAGCACTGCCAGCTGGCGTGGCTCAGAGGCTAGGTCCCAGCTGGCGTGGCTCAGAGGCTAGGTCTAGCCGGACAAGCCCCAGTGACGGGAACTCCTCAAAATTAATCAATAAGTGCACTACAACTGTGCAAATACATCATGCTCTTTACACTAGAAGTAATAATCTTTCATCCCATTAGGAAGAGCAAAAGTGAGAAAGCTCCATGGGATTCAAATTCCAAAACTTACTCAGGTCATTAGCAGCTATTTTTAATACATTACAGTAAGAAGTGCTCTGATTCCGAGTGCACTATGACGTCAGCAGTTTGGCAGTTGCCCTGCACAAGCCCACCTGGTGTCTGAGCAAGCATGCCGTTCGCGACCCACACTTCTTCCCAATACGACCCCTGCCACAGTCACCCAGGGAGGTACCACCGAAAACCATGACCAGGGGCAGCACTTTGATAACAAACCCACGTGGCACAGCCGCAGGCCCCACCCCAGGCCGTCTGAGTTCCAGCTGCCCTCCACACTCAGCCACGTGTTTACAGTCCACCAGCCACAGGACAGCCCGAGTGACGCCTAGGCTCCTGGTTTCAGCCTGGTGAGCGAACGAGCTGATGAAAGGCCTTTCTCTCTTCTGAGTAAAATACTAAAAATGGTTCCCACAGCTCTGGAGCAGGGCCTTGGGCTCAGCGGGCAGCCTGGAGACACTGGAGGGCATCTGCATCCCACGGCACTGCCAATGCCAACTTCCCGCTAATGCACACCTCGCGAGGTGGCCAATGAGAGCTCCTGGTGCCTGCCTCCCATGCCTGTGGAGGACCTGCCGTGAATTCTCAGCTCCGAGCTCCTGCCCGGCCCACCTGACCCCGTGGGCATTTAGGGGAGTAGCGAAGAAGGGGAGGAAAAGCTGCTTCTCTGTCTGCCTCTCACACAAAACCAAATGACAACAGCAGCAGAGCGCATGGCACCCGCATCCTGTGCTCCAGTCAGTTACCTTCGAGCTTCTTCACCTTCGCTTCCAGTTTCTTCTTCCTAGTAACAAAGTGCAGGAATTAAATGGTGAGAGCAGTGCGCAGGACAGAGCATTCCAGCTCATGAGACAGACACATGTATTTACTGAATGGATGTGGTTTGTACAGCACACATTTCTGGCCACAGTATCACAACAAGTGGGGTTATTGGCAATTGTTCTGAGAGAAGAATACATTTCATAAAGAACAGTGACTGCGTCATGTTGAACACTGAACGGCTCAACAACCAGCGGGAGTTCCTCTCTGAAGCCCAACCACCAACCACCCCAGCTACGCCAGGAGCACCTCTGAGGCCTGGCCTACGTGTTACCCACAAGGTGGCCACTCAGGGTCGGCGTGACTCCCGAGGGACACGCGAGAGCAGTGGCTGCAACACTGAGCTGGCCTCTGCAGGGCATGGCGCACCGGTCCCCTGCAACGACGCCGAGCATGCCACAGGGACAGCTCTGTGCTTGCTTCGTTCAGAACAGGAACAGTCACGAATCTCAAAACTACATCAAGAGGATGCTTTTGAGTGGCCTTTCCTGCTAATGGTAACAAGAGACCCATTCCACAGGTTTTCTGGAAAGTCCTGGTATAACATAAGGACTGAGTAACACATTCTACAGACATGCATGCATGCGTCAAGTTCATTCTTCATGCAGCCCTTTAGCCCACAGAAGCCTTCAGAGTAGACATTTTCCGTTTAACGGACACGGAGAGCCTAGTTCAGGCTCACACAGCTAGCTGACCATGGCCGGGGGGCCCCCAGAGCAAGCAGCGGCGCTCCCCGGGACGCCTGCCCAGTCACGGGGCACGCACTCACTGAGCGTCAGTCCTGAGGCACTCCTCCTTCACACGCGTGTACTCCTGCTGGGTGTCCTGGTACAGCTTGAGAGAACTCTAGGGGCGAGAGCACAGGGAGGTCAGCTGAGCATCGGCGCCTGTCCACTGCCTGAGCCTCACCTCCCCTCTAAGCGCGTGATGAACCAAATGCAGGAAATCAAAGCACAGCTCATACACTGGGTGATCAACCATTCCCAGCAAGTGTAACAGATTAGCATAAACCAAGTAAAAACTGTAAAATCTAAAATAATATACTAATCAAGATCATTCCAGACCCTCACCATATTTGAATTTGAATAGCTACTGTCTCTATTAACTGACACTGCACATATCCTAGAGAAATCTTGAACTAAACAAATGTTGTTTATATTATTATGGGGAAATACCAAGGACCACACCTCATTTCCTCACAGTAACTCAGGGAACAGTGCACACGGATCAGAGTGCTGACGGGCAGCGGGAGGCGGACACGGCAATGAGGACAACATCACGACAGAGCGTGTGGGGCCTCGGTCCTGAGCCTTCACTGTCCCCCACCCCCCCCCTTTTTTTTTTTTTAACAAATGAGGAGTCTGAGAGACAGTTTGGCAAAGTTGCAGTGCCAAAGTGGCTCATCAGGGGACACCTGAAGGTCTGTGTCCAGTGTGCCGGTTCCTTCAGGTAAGGCTGGAGAGATCGTGCAGTCGGGGCTAGACAGGGCCAAACGCCGTGATTTTCGGCTAATGCGTACCCAGATCACGCCCTGGCAGTCCTGACAGCACAGCAGGAAGACCTGGCGCGGGAGAAATCGAGTTCTTTGCCCTCCTCTTTCACATCAATAGTTCCCCTAGTTTTAAACTTGGATTTTAACATTGAAGCTCAAAAACAAAACAAAACACACCAAAGTACAAAAGTCATTTAATGCAAGACAGCTAAAACCAAATACACAGACATTAGCTTGCAGCAGCCACTAGGGCAGGCCGTTCCGGGCGCACGAGCAGCGGGGCAGGTGCAGCTCCCGCCCGCATCTCTGCCCGCCCATCCTGACCGGTCTGGGCTGCACAGTGAGTTCACACACCTTCTTCTCCTCCAGCTCTGCCTTTAAGGAGCCCAGTTCTTCCTGACACTTCTGCAGAGGAGAGATTTTCTGAAGCATCTGTTCCACCTGGTGATGCAGAGTACTGTTTTCTCTGGAAGCGGACAAGGCACACACTGTTAACCACGGAATCGGTAAGCACACGCACTGATGATCTTCACGACTCACTTCCCCATTTCTCAGGCATAAGCCTGTTTGTAACAAAAGCAACCAAAAGCACCCTGAAAACCACGTTTAGCAGATCCTCAATCTGCTGGGGCAGAGGGCAACAAGCCCTGAACGTGGCTTCTGCAACTGTAAACCCCTCCCTGCCACCACCCTCCCACCTTCCTGTAGATGCTCAATGTAACCAGAACATGACGCACTGCTAACACTCTAAGCGAGCCTACTCCGAACTGTTTAAAACAACTCGAGGCAGGGACCTGCACGGTGGCTCTATTCGCTAAGGCTCCGCCTGCAAGCGTCAGCATCCGATACGGATGCCAGTTTGTGTCCTGGCTGCTCCACTTCCGATCTAACCCCCTGCTGTGGCCTGCAAGAGCACGGGAGGATGGTCCAAAGCGCTGGGACCATGCACTTGCGTGGGAGACCCAGGAGCTCTTGGCTTTGGATTGGCTCAGCTCCAACCATTGCAGCCATCTGGGGACTGAACCAGAGGAGAGATCTTCCTATCTTTCCTTCGCTCTGTAAATCTGCCTTTTCAATAAAAATAAATAAATAAATAAAAGACTATTCAGTTAAAAAAATAACATGGGATAAACAACGACATTAACAGTCGGATACATGTTGACAATAACAAGAAAGGAATTGCTCTTGCTAACAATGTCATCAGTAAACAGCCAAGGAGCCAAATGCCACACTGGTGACTGAAGCCACGAGTCTCAAATCTGCACAATCTAACGATTAAATAAAAGCCACCCTTCATGCCTGAGTGCCAAAGCCACGCTCAGCACTGCGCAGCAATCCTCAAATCTGAGTGCAGTCTGGCCTGATCGACCCCCTTTCCAGCTCCACCCTTCAAGCAACAGCAAAGGCAGCTCACCTTCGTGCAAACTGCAGCTGTGACACTTGTTAAAGAAAATGCCGAGATTCTTCAGTCAGCTCAAGATAAAACTCACTCTACAATGTAATCATTTTGCTTAACAGACACGCAGGCAAAATCATGAGTCTAGAAGACAATATGCGAGGTTCTAGCTGTAACACAAGACTGTTGATCCTGAGTTACTGACACATTGTTAACGTTTCAGAACAGTGGAAGCCTGCTCTGCTTGGAAGCCTAGAGCACTGCGGGCACCCGGAACCACCCGCAGACCCAGCAGACCCAGCAGATGGCGAGCTGCCTCTCACACAGGTCAGAGACAAATCAAATGACCAAACTCAGTAACAGTAGCTGAACCTGACGCTATAGATTATACTACAGAATCAACCTGTGGAATTCAAGAGTAACATTCTATTCTCTTGAAAAAATTACTGATAATTTTTATTGAAATTTTCTATGGCCAGTTTGCAAAAACAACAACTTCAGTGCCAGCTTACCTGCCATAATTACTTCAAAAAGCTTATGGCAACTCTCAGAAGTAATATGATCAGCACTTAGCTATCTAAAGTGTTCCTAAAGCACTTTAATATACACTAAATGCTCAGCGCAGTACTAGTGTATTTGCATTTATATTTAAGTGCACTGTAAATGCATTTATAGTTCAAAGAATTGACAGGTCCAACAAATAAGGTACTTGAGGTTTTAACAGCCTATTCTGCACATACAGATTCAGATATTCAAAATCAATCTCAGTAATAATGTTTTGATTCGTTGCTCTCATTACATGAATTTAGAGTGACGCACTGACACACCGCTCAGGAGGTACACCATCCACAGGACTGCACAGCCCGCACGTGAAGCTGAACTTGGCACACCGCGGACGGAGCGTGACCCGCACACGGCAGAGCGGCTTTTCATTTCCAAGGGCAAGAACTCAAGGAAGGGGACCATGATCAGTGTCAGAATGTGTTACATACACCTTCCCCTCAGTAAGCCCTCGGCAGACGCAGGCTGGACTGGATCAAGGCAGCTAGATGCCAGAGCGGGGATACGGAGCTATTCTTTCTCTGTACTGCTGTGGACATACATGTCATTTTTTTACAAATCAAAAAGAATTTAAGTCAATTTCCCAACACTGTAAATGTTCTCCTAGTACAACTTGAGCAGAGAAAAGCTAACAGACAGCATCATTAGCTACCGATTGCTTAAGCCCAAGGGACACACACCCCACGACGTGAAAAGCTCAGGGGCACGCTGAAGCAATTCACGTCCCAGGTCAAAACCCGACCCGTCCCAGGGCCTCATCTTCCAACTGCCTCTGCCAACACGAGATGTGCCGGCTGTTCCTTCTTGTGCTGTCGAGCTGATCTCCCCGCTGGCCTTCCACAAGGTGACTTTAAACTATTCACATTTCTTCAGAGGTTACATCAATTTCAGACCAAAATTCAAAAGGAAAAGCAAGAAAAAGGATATCATCACATTTCTTCTGATATTCCGTTAACAGATTACTGTAATAAAGGAAAGGTTACTGAGGTTACTGTCTTATCCAGAACGCATACTTTAATAAATCCATGTTTCAGGTCCTGCAGACCCCAGGTCCGGCCTCCCTCCCCAGGTTCCCTGAAATGAACGTTTGCCAAGCCACACAAGCTCCTCAACTCTCCCCCGCACGCACTACGGCCTTTACAGCCCTTTCTGAGCAATACTGCAGAAATTTTAAAATAGGAAATCCAGCTTAACTTTGTAGAAGTACTATAAAATATCAAACACTGTGAGGACATTTCAGGTCTGGTCCCAAACTAAGGTTTTAAATACAGAAAAGGATTTTTAAAAATCCCAACTTTGCAAAAAACTTTCTAGTAATGCACAAGATTTATCTCAAAGATCTGTGAGCCACCAACAAGAGGTTTAAGCTGCTGCCAGTTTTATTACAATCAGCACCTGACCCCAACAGGCATCCAGGGGAGAAACTCCAGCTCCCCACTCAGCCCCACGCCCACGACCCCCGGCTCGCCCTCGGCCCCGCGCCCACGACCCCCGGCTACCCCCTCGGCCCCGCACCCACGGCCCCCGGCTCGCCCCTTGGCCCCGCGCCCACAGCCGACACAGGCTTCCCCTCGGCCCTGCGCCCACTGCCCCCGGCTCCCCCTCGGCCCCCTCAGCCCCGCGCCCACGACCCCCCGGCTCGCCCCTCAGCCCCGCGCCCACAGCCGACACAGGCTCCAGCCCGGTAGTTATGCCAAACACATGCACATGTACTTACTCTGTATTGATGATTTTCTGTTTCAAGGTAATTAATGCATCAACATACTCATTCAAGTTCTGAAAGAATAAAAAGCTACAATCAGCTATTTTTTTTACCACATGCAATTAACTTCAATAAACTATTATTTATACTGCATGTGAACACACACGTGTCATGGTTCTAGCCCATGCCACCTATGTCTAACGCTCTGAGACCAGTAACAATCCTCTGCCAGTAATGCAGCTCAAGACACTTTGCACACAGCCAGTAAGAATAAACTACTGAATTTCACAAATTATTATCCTCAATCTTCACTCTTTCATTTCTGAAAAGATATATGGCATCTTAGAAGACAAACACAAAAGTTATACAAAATGCCAGCACAATAACTAAAACAATTACTGGAGGAGACAAACAGGAATGTTAAAATGGGGCCAACATTAAAATAAAAACTAACACATCATTTCCAGGATCTGTATACATCACGGGGACCAGACACTAATCGGACTGAGCATCAGGGCTGTGTTTAATACCCCGGCGATTCACAAACCAATGTTTTGCTTTGTTTTTCAGATTTATTAACTCATTTGCAAAGGTTACAGGGAGAGGGAGGTAGAGAGAGGAGGAGGCAGGGAAGGGGTAAAGCAAGGAGTCAGGGAGGGAGATGACCTTGGATCCGCTGGCTCATTCCTCAGAGCGCTTTTTCCAGGTCTCCCAGGAGAACAGCAGGTGTGTAGGCACTGGGCCATCTTCTGCTTTTCCCAGGCCATCAAGAGGGAGTTGGATCAGAAGTGGGGCAGCCAGGACATGAACCCACTCCCACGAGGGCTGCCAGCCTCTCACAGTACTGTACCCCGCTTCCTGTTTTCTCAGCGCCTCCTTTTCCCATCAGCAGATGCTTCAGAAACAACACAACTGGAAACAGCACGGCAGCAGCCTTGCCCATGCGATACAATGATCTATCAGCAGCAATATCCGCTGATTTTCTCAAGACTCTTTTCTAAGTAAATCAATTAATTTTGTCAGTTACAGTAATCAGTCTTTATCATAATCCACACTTGCTCTGCACTTATTGCAATGTCTACAAAGACAAAAAGCTACATATTAAAATACATGTAAACAAAGCTCTTACAATCCTATCAGCAATCAAAACTGGTTACTCCTAAAATTCCGGGGCACTTTCAGCACCATTACAATCATGTACACCAGCCTGGATGTACCAGAAGTACCATCTGTTCTGGAAGGGCACTGTGGCCGTGGCAGCCTGCAGCAGCACGTCCAGGCTGTCCGGCACAGCCCGCACAGCGCTGCCATGGCGCGTCAGGCCACACCGGCTGAGCTAAGCAGGCCTTCCCCCGTGTGACACCTCCGGCGGCCTTCATGACAACGGTGGCTAAGCAGCTCTCCTGATCACTTCTGGCTGTTCCCTCTCACCACAGCTTGCTGCTTGTGGACAGGGCTCCACTTCTGAAGAGAATACTTGGGAACTAGCAATCTCGTATGATACTCATCATTACAATGGCACACAGACGTCTGAGACATGCATACCACCACAGGTTTCATGGTATGCAAGGATGACAGAATTAAAGGACTGCTCTATAAGCTGTTCTTGCTCTCTGATGCCTTTTTTGTAAACCTGTACCTTTAGTTCTTCTGGAACTGATTCTTAGGAATAGTATGACGCAGACTGGTTGTGATAAATGGACTGGTTGGAGTAGCAGTGTACGGAATTCCCAAACTTAAACCAGCCCTGTGCTTTGCGTGCAGTCAGTTCTGCATAGACACAGTGTAAACAAAGCTTTAACGCTATCAGGCAAAATACAGGACATTCTCTTAATAATTTCAAGGCAGAAATTATACACCAGTGCATAAACATATGGACATACACCTGGCATCAAAATGTAAAATTTTCATCAGTAAAAGATATGAGTCTTGGAGCTACCATGTATAAAATACAGGAGATAATAAATTCCTAACATACAAACAATTTAATGAGCAAATTATTAAAAGGCAAATTTATAATCAGAGGAAAGTAGTAAAGGAGTCCAGTATATCAACTGAAGAATCCAGAATGGACATTAAAAACAGACCACATTTTGGTATCAGAAAAATGTAAAGACTAAATGCATTTTTCACCCACTACACTGGAATCGAAGTATCTGAAAGGATGAAAAGAGAATTCATGTGACAGGTGGCAGTGTTTGGGCATTGTGTGTGCGCATGGAGCATATGTGACAATTTGTTCCCCACACTCCTGGTTACGCTGCTGGGATCACGAGCAGGTGCTGGGTCCGCACCCCCACTGCTTTATCTCACATACGTTCTAGAATCTTAACTTCTGTTCATTAATTATGGTAAATCCACTGGCTCTAAAAGTTTATCTATAGGCCTGGATACCTAAGGCCTAAATAAAACACCGACAAAGTCCAGCAATGTTAAGTAACTCATCTGTGGATTACCCTGGTCTATGTCAGTCACTGCAACACCCACTGGTAACAATTTCATTTGATATTTCCTTCGCCCACCTGCCCTCTTCACCCTGTAATAAGATCCCAGCATAACGGTGAACAGCAGGAGTGACAACAGGTGTCTCTGTCTTAAAGCAGAATTAAGTTTGTCCTGCTCCAGATTTTTGATTGAGATTTATAATCTGCTAAAACATTTTATCATGTATAAGTATTAAACAAATTTATGCCTCTGTGTAGTTTAAACCTGTACTTTGCTCCTTTTATAATTAATTATAGTGGATTAATTATAGTATTTGCTGTTTTAAAAAGACGTATTTATTGGGAAGGCAGAGCCAACAGAGAGAGAGAGACCCCACCTGCTAGTTTATTCCCCAGATGGCAGCAACAACCAGATCTGGGTTGGCCAGCCCAAACCAGCATCCAGGAGCCCCAACCTGGCCTCCCAGACGCATGCGGGGGCCCAAGTCCTTGGGTTATCAACTGCCACTTTCCCCAGCAGGAAGCCAAATCAGAAACAAAGCACTCACATATGGGCTGCTGGCAGAGCAGGGACAACTCCACCTGCTGTGTCATAGCAGGTCCAACAAGAGGTTTCCAATGCAGAAACATAACGGTGGATTAACTGCTTAGACACACGGACGGGTTACTTCCACTAGCTTGCTTAGGCTTCTTCCCCTTATCTATATTCATAACTGACACGTTTATGCTTCTTTTGTACTACATCCAATATTCTTACTGCCATTAAACATGGTTCATAAGATGTGATATCTTCTTCAATCAAAAGGAAGGAAGAGGTAAAACAGGAACACCTCTGGGGCACGGGTAACTTTGCTAGTCTGTTACCGGTTAACCCTCACCCTTCAACCCGCACTCTGAATGACCATGGCTGGAAACAGGGTTTTGGAGGGCCAGGCACGTGGGGCAGAGGTTCCAGGATCTCCTAGGATGCTCTGTCCCACACTGCAGGCCTGGGTTCCCGTTCCAGTTTCCTGCTGACACATTCCAGGAGGCAGCAGGTGTCGAGTGCGCACGCGCCTGAGTGCTGGCTGCCCAAGCTTTTGGCTCTGGCTTTGGCTTGGCCTGGCCTTGACTGCTACAAACAGTGGGAGAGTGAACCATGGGGAAGGGGGATTTTCCTTGTCTGTTTCTTCTTTCTCTTCAAAACAAATTTTAAAAACAAACAGGTCTTTGCAAGTCTGATTAGGCTCAAATGAGGCTGTCCTGGGTTCCGCTAGATCCACAGTGAGGCACCTGGGCCGAAAGGTGGAGGTACGCTTGCGCTTTTATTCCTGCCTCAAGCCAGCTGAAGCACAATCCAAGGAATTTTCTTCAAAAGGGCAAAATCCTTAATGATGAGGACAAGATAAAAGTCAACTGGAAATGAGATTCAAGTACAGATTTAAAACTCAAAAAACCAGAAACAGTGAAAATCAACAACAAACTGCAAATCTCCCAGCAACTGTGCTGCAGGGTGAGTGTGGTGGGCAGCACTCAGCCACGGGGGGCACTGCCCACCTCCAGCTCCCGGCCAGCCTCGGGGAGATTACCCTTCCGCCAGCCCACGGGGGGCACTGCCTACCTCCAGCTCCCTCACCCCCCCCACCAGCCCACGGAGGGCACTGCCCACCTCCAGCTCCCGGCCAGCCTCGGGGAAATTACCCTTCCGCCAGCCCACGGGGGGCACTGCCCACCTCCAGCTCCCAGTCAGCCTCGGGGAGCTCACCCCCCGCCAGCCCATTGAGGGCTGGGCTTGCCTCTGATCACTCGTGGCAGGGCTGCTCAACCAATGCCAGGGGCTGAGTAAACACACACATCGCCACATACCGGTCACCTGCTTCTCTCCATTAACTTTGGGACAGCACAGCTGGAAGGAGACACACCTTCTCTGAGACAGGCATCCACAGGGGCGCCAGCTGGAGTCCGGCTACGCCACTTCCAATGTGCCTCCACGCTAACGCACCGGAGGCAGCTGGAGTCCGGCTACTCCACTTCCAATGTGCCTCCACGCTAACACACCGGAGGCAGCTGGAGTCCAGCTGCTCCACTTCCAATGCGCCTCCACGCTAACGCACCGGAGGCAGCAGGAGCTGGCCCGAGTGCGAGGGCTCCACACTCACATGGGAGAACAGAAGGCACTCCAGGCTCTGAACCTGCCCTGCTCCAGCTGCCACAGCCGTTTGGGGAGTGAATCAACCCATGGAAGACCTTTCTGTTTCTCCCTCTCTCTCTTTGTAACTGCCTTCCAAATATTTTTTTTTCTTAAATGACTTCAGTTCAAAAAAACCATTCCAGAAAGTAAAGCAAAACAAACAAGAGAAAGAAGCAACTTGTGTTAGAGCAATAGGCAGAGTCCCAGAGAAAGAGACAGCTAAGAAATTTTGATATTCAAGAAGCAATCCTCAGCTGAAGACAAAAGAGCCCAAACTAAAAGCAGGCAGCACAGTTCAAACAAAATCCAGACCACGAAATGTCAGCACACAGTTTAATGACATTATAGTCAGGCAGGCTGCTGAAAGAACCCCAGAGAAAAACCCAACGAAGCAAGTGCGGTAAAGAATCTGGAATCAGAAAGGTTGCAGACCAACATGAGCTGGGAACTTGAGCCTGGGAGAGCAAGCTCTGCACACCCCGGAGGAGAGTGCATTCCGAGGCAGAGTCTGCACCCTCTCCAGTCTGAACTCCCAGGGGGGTTCCCAGGGAGGACCGGTCTCTGCTAGGAGCAGCACAGACAGGGTGGACGCAGGACAGCGCTGGCGGACGACGCCCAAGGCAGGTGAGCAGCTGGCAGTGACTGGCCAGTCCCCCAGACCAACAGGGTGCTCCAGGGTGTTTAGGCTCAACTGGCAGAGAATCGCAAGTATTTGGTTTGCTTAGGCATTTAAATGATACTTAAAGTAGAACCAATTCCGCCTTTTTCTTTACTCTCAACCAAGTCCTCCGTGACCCCTACCTTGCCGGCCTGCTTCCAGGTGCTGCTCGGTCCTGTCAAGGACCGTGCCACAGAAAGCACGCCAACTGCAGGCTCCAATCCACACATCTGGATTCCAATTCCTCAACCACAACTGCTGGCTGAGTGATCTTGGGCAAATTCCACCAACCTCCCCTGGCCTCCACACTACTTGGGCAGACAGGGACCCGAGGCACACAGGAAGCTAATGGCTGCATGGTGTTGGGGGTCACTAGGATGAGCAGGCAAGTGTTGGATAAGTGAGTAAGCACTCCCACTTTCAGGATGCAACGTTCACCTAAAGCTGCAGGAGCAGTTACTAACCACACAGTGGAGGACAAGGCAGCCACGCACGGGACAGCTCAGCTCTGAGCAGCACACAAATGCTGTGGCTGGGACCGCACCGAGCAGGTGCAAAGGCCAACCTAGCCCACACGACATTCACGCTAACGCACAGGACGAGCCCTAAGCTGTGAAAGCTGCAGGGTGTGCTTGGGCAGAGGGCACGTCGGGTTTTTCTGGGAGCTGTACTTATCCACACACACGGATGTGGCCACGCTCTGCAGAAGCAAGCCCCAGGTTAACGGGGTTCGGCCCTCGAGGCCGAGCTCTGCTGAGGTTTATCCCAGCAGTGCTGCGCTCACTGGGGATCCAGCGTATCGTACCAGACCGCTTAGGGCCAGATGTGTATCAGAACTTGGAGGGATTTTGGGGGGTTGGTGAGAAGGAAGGGATTTTGCAATATTTACGCTGGCTTTGCCAGTTGACCACCTACCCCTAATTCAAAAAATCTTAAATTTCACCTTCAGAAAGTTAAGGATTTCAGTGGTGCAATTTCTCTCAATTCTTTCCTATCTTCTAAATACTACTCTTTTTTTTTTTGGCCTTCTAGATATTTCCTCAAGACAATACAGTATGGATCCACAAATACAATTCCCACAGATGCCGATTCTCGGACAGAGTGGGCCAGGACAGGGCAGACAGCCTTGGCCAGGAGCAAGCCAGAAGGCCTAGGTGCTGAAAGCAGACTGCCAAGTCAGTCAGCAAGGCTGGGAGGAGTGACAAGCCACCTGGCTGGCTGCAGCCACGCCTCTGCACCTACAGAGAAAATACCTCAAGGGAGAAAGAAGCAAAATCCCTGCTGGTCCTAAGCGCGCACAGACTTGTTTCCTTGCCATTTCCTCAATGGAGTAGTACCAAGATCGTATCAGCAACCACCATGACCTCGCATGGCTTCAGGGCCAGGAAAGCCCGGGTGCAGCTTGTGTGTACACACTGTATTCTGGTACCTGAAGAACATCCCAGAACCAACGCTCCATGGACCTGAGGGGCAACCTGACATTCCAAGCTCACAAACAGGCTGGGCCCAGCATTCCTGCCCCTTAGACTGCCCACGGCAGGGCCGGGGTTGGCAGGTCTGAGGGCACACTCCTCAGAAGGCACGGCTTCAAGGCGTGCCCTTAGCTGGCATCTAGGAACAGACTCGGAGGGCTCTGTCCCTCCACTTTTCCTGCTTACAGTGGCTGACTGTCCCTCCTTGGACCATGCAACGAGGCTTATGCCAAACACCTGCTCATCCTCGCAGAGCCTGCAATGGGGGTGTGTGCTGAACCCCATCCCCCTGACTTGGGCTCCAGGTCTCCAAAAAGCTTCCAGCTGCATGCAGGCTGGCACAACATGTGGGACGATGCAGCTCAACGTGACTCCCGGGCAGAGACGTCCAGAAACGCATGCTGGCTTCCCGCGGACTTGGCCCACGCACCTGCTCTCTCTGCTGCCTCCTGTCTCCTCTCCTATAACAGCGTGCGCAAGGCGTCCTTCCCGTGGCTTCCAGAGCTCCACGGCCCCACGGCGACTGCCTTTCCACTCCACAGTCACATCAACCGTGGCAGTCGTACCCTCCTGTTCTTGCCTGTGTCCCTAACCCACGCCTCTCCGCTCCTGTCTGGGGAGGACACTCCAAAACCCCTGGAAATGTTCAATTAACAGACAAGTTTCTTTGGCCAGTTTCCTTTTGACACACATCTCTCATGAGCTTCCGGAAGACTCCTTGAGACCCAAAGTATACACCAGCCACAAACACATCACTAGCCAGAAGCGCACACTATCTTTGCAGGAATTACAACTCCGTGAGCATGCATTTGCCTAATAAGAAAACACTTCCTAGTTAGTGTGTCTGCAGAAAACAGGCTTTAAGTTTCGAACAACAAAGTTCAAACCTTCGGCAAGAAGTCCTGCGTAAAGTTCAAACCTTTGGCAAGAAGTCCAGCGTAAATTCCCGTAAGCAAGCCTCAAACGAGGGCGGCCCAACACCGACCGAAACTGGTGGGCGTGTTCCCAACGCTCCCGGGTGCCCCTGCTCCCTGCCACCACGGGAAGCCCTTTGCACGTGCTCCCTGCACCCCTCCACCTGCCCAGCCACTCCTTCTCCGCATTGGACTCTGCAAGAAGCCCACTGCAGCCAGGGCACCACAGCGCATCCCGACGGCCTCGTCGTGTTCTTCCCAACACACACAGCCTCCCACGGCCCTAACCGGCACACAGACACCTCACCTGGAGAGACCAGCCCTGTCCTGCGACGCTAAGGCGTCCTCCACGGTGCCTGGCAACACCTGGGGAGCCAGCCACCTCCGGGGTGACAAAGCCAAGGAGTTCTGTGGACTCCGGCCTGCCCCAGGCAGGGAGGATCTTTCAGCCGTGCAGCCCGCCGTCGGGGACCCGAGCAAGCACAGGCGACCCGGGCATGCTAACTCGGCTGAGCCCGACGGACCCCAGGCCTTGTCCGTGACACGCCACGTCCCACCTCCTCGCGACAGACCAGGGCCTTGCTCCGCGGGAGGCCCCGCTCCTCGGCACCGCACCTGTCACCCGGGACGTGCAGCGCTCCGCTGAGAAGCAAGCCAGGAAGCCGCGCGCCGCCTCCTCCCAGCACGAGCCCAGCGAGGAAGAGGAGGGCGAGGGGCTGCGTGCCTCCCTCGCGCCCAGGCCCCCCGCGCCCCGCGCCGCACCTGCTGCAGGGAGGCGCAGCCCTGACACCGCGAGAGCCCCGCCGCCGGCCCGGGCGCCGCCGGGTGGGTCTCGCCCGGCATCATGGTGCCGCCTCCGGGCTCAGGCACCCCCGGCCGCGGGCCTGCCTCGCCCCCGCCGCCGCCCGCCGGGCCGCTCGCCGCAGGGCCCGCGCCGGGCCATCCGTGCACCGAGGTCCCCGTGGAGCTGGCGCTGGGACACCGAGCCGCTCCCCGGCGCGACGCCAGCCAGCCAGGACCCGGCCCCGCCCCGGCCGGCGCGCAGGGCTGGCCGCCGCGCTGCCTGCACACAGCGGCGAGCGGAGCCGCGCGGCGCGGTGCACAGGATGCGCGTCCCGGCGAGGCCAGCCGCCGCGGGGGAGTCCAGCGTGTCGCTCATCCGCCGGCAGCGGTCCGTCACTTCTGGCCGGCCTGCTTCACGATAGGCTCTCTCTAGACACCCAAAGTCACCCAGAGGCCCGTCGGTGACGTGATCGGCAGGCGCCTGTCCGAGGGAGGACCCCCGCGTCCAGATCCGCGATCAGCTGGAGGGGGACCTCCTCCTCTTGAGTCCAGGACGGGCAGGAGGACCACAGGGAGGAAGGATCACAGGGAGGAGGGACCACCGGCAGGAGGGACCACGGAGAGGAGGGACCATGGGGAGGGAGGACTACAGGCAGGAGGGACCATGGAGAGGGAGGACCACGGGGAGGAGGGACCATGGGGAGGAGGAACCATGGGGAGGAAGGACCACCGGCAGGAGGGACCACGGGGAGGAGGGACCACGGAGAGGGAGGACCACAGGGAGAGGGAGGACCACAGGGAGGAGGGACCACGGGGAGGAGGGACCACGGGGAGGAGGGACCACGGGGAGGAGGGATCACGGAGAGGGAGGACCACGGAGAGGGAGGACCACGGAGAGGAGGATCACGGCTCCCAGTGCTGCCCGAGTCCAGCAGGGGAAGGAAGAACAGGGCTCTTGGTTCGCGGTGTAGCCTCCAGGTCCCGCTGGCCCGGTGGGCTCCGGGTCCACGACCTGCACCCGGGGTGGACCGCGGCTGTGGCCATTGCTCAGTCCGAGCAGTGGGCGTGTCCTTCTGATTGTCCGCCCCTGCCTCGCCTTGCCCGTACATCTGTTGCACAATGGAAGGGTCAGCTGGAAGTGCTGCCACTGACCCCTCCAAGCAAAGCAAGCTGGCGCCTCACTAGACTACAGAGCCCAAGGAGCCTGAGCAGGAGACCAGGCTGAAGTCAGCAGGTGCACGGGGGCAGGACGTGTCGGGGGTCCTGAGAGGACCAGCCTGCCTCTGGGCTGCCTGACGCGATGCTCTCCCTGGCCACACGGTCTCCCCTGCACCGCAGGCCTGGGCCGCTCCCTGCTGCCCTCTCCCTCTGGCGCCCTCACTGAAGCACTGGTCATGGAACCCTTCCCTGGCTTTCCTGGGTTCCTCATTACCTCTGCCAAGGAACAATCTCTCTTGGGCTGAGGTATTTTTTTTTTTTTTTGTAGTTTTTAGTTCTGATGATTTTTACATAGTTGGTTAGGGTGATTAGGGTCAGGGCTACAGGAAGATGGGTGAGATCACCATTTCCACATTCTCTTTTTCTTTGCTGTATCTGGGAGGGGGAGATAAGGAGATAAGGGGAGAAGCCACACCCAGCCTCCCACACGCCTCTGCACCCTGGGATGGAGGACAGTCACCCACACCACTCCAGGGTCCCGGATGTGGGGCACGCTCCGAGAGTCCTGCTCAGGAGGTTTCAGTAGTTCAACAGTTCTGAGTTATTGTCAGTCTCACCACTCACCCCAAGCCGAGGAAATCTCCAGAATCCTCTGGCTGACAGTCCACCTTACAGTCCATTTTCCCAGATAATCACTGCCAACAATTGGCTGGCAGTTGATCAGTTTGCGCTGTCCTCCAGCCTCTTGTACCAGGTGTCTTCTGCAGGTTCCGCTGGACTGCCACACCCCGTACCAGGTATCCTCTGCAGGTGCCACTGGACTGCCACACCCCCATGTGCACCTGGACATGCTGTCCGCTGCTCCGTCTAAGCCACTGAGGAGGCCCAGCTCTGACTCGTGTACTCCAGGGTCAGACCATGCAACCTGCAATTCTCTTCGTGGTTGGGATTCTGAGTCCAGTGATTCAGTTGGGGTGATCCCAAAGAATCTTTGGTGATCCCCAAAGAAATGTCATCTCTTCATCTGAGGTGATCCCAGACCTGATTCTTGTGTGTGCCTGGCAATACAAGGCCTAGCACAGTCTGTGGTTCCAGTTGCTGGATCAGTTCTGCTTCCAGCCCTGTCTTCTACACAAACCATAGGTGTTGCATCCCAGCCCGATCCTGCCCACCTCACACTTGGCCATCACATATACTAGTGCGAGTGGCCACCGAGTCAGTCACCCACACTGACTCCCACCAGGCCCACCCCTTGCCCTGCTTCCCCGTGATTGACCATCCTGTACCACATCCCTTTCAGCTCTCATACATGTCGATGGGCATTGAAGCCTAGTTCAGCTCAACAAACCCCACTCTCCAGCCCACACACATGCCAGTGCGTGCCGCTCTCTGTCTAGCCATGCCTGCTCCAGTCCTGGTTCTCGTGCTCACCAGAGTGGCAACCCAAGAGGGAGGTGCCCACTGCTTCCTTTCTTGGCCCACTCCCACTCCCAGATCTGCAGGTGGTTCTGCAGTTTACCGTGACGGAATGTGTCCCCCGCCTTCCCGTGCCAGCATCTGCCAGCTAATATTTCAGCAAAGCCCAACCAGCCCACACCCACTCTGGCTTATGCATGTATCAGTAGGAACAGTCAATCCAGCCTGGCATTTCCCCTAATCCAGCTCACGTGAGGCCCACAGGTGTTGTAGGCTTGCCCAGCTTGGTCTGCCCACATCCCAACTCGGGCTCTTCAGTGGGAGTGGTGGTCCAGCAGGAGAGCCCCTTGCAGCCCCCTACGAACTTCACCCCCTGCCCCCTTAGTCTCTTGGGTGCTGCAACCCAGTTTGGCATGGCCCACCTCTCTTCAACATTTGCCAGTGTGTGTTATAGCCTTGCCAGCAGGCTTTTCCCACCCACAATTCCAACTCACTGGTGAGGGCTACAGCCTAGCCCAGCCAGACTCAGTCCTGGCCCTCATGTGGACTTGGTTGTATTGCGACCCATCCTGGCTCAACCCATGCTCCATTTTGGTGCTCAGATTCATCAGTGGGGGATATGAACTGTCCCAGCCTAGTTTGCCCCTGACCTGAGCCAAATATATGCTGGTCGGTACCATTCCCTGACCTGGTCTGGGCTGCTCCCTAACATGGTTCTTACGCTCACCTGCAAGGACTCTGTCCTGACAAAAGTTTCCCAAGTTCCTCCACCAGAACTTCTCCTAAAGTCAGGTCTCACACCAGTGGGGCCATGAGCAAGCCCTACTTAATCCACCTCCTGTCCTAGCAGTAACAGTGACCTTTCTTGACTGGCCTTCACCCATTCTAGTTTTTGCTGTTGAATGTTACAGCCCAGCCAAGCCTGTTCCACACCCAGACACAGCTCACACATGGCTCAGCAGGGGCAAGACCTAGCCGAGCCCGTCCTACACCTACCCTGGTCCTCATGAGCACCAGTGGGTGCTGGAGTCTAGCCCAGTCTGACATTCCAGACCCAGTTCACACTTGTGCAGAGGGATGCTGCAGCTGTGCACAGACAGAACAGGTGCTGAGTGAATCCAACCCAGTGTGACTAACGGAAGCTAACAGAATGAGTGCTGTTTCCCCCTCTCTCGAATCCGGGTCCTTGGACGTGGGGAGAAAAGCTGAGGTGTCATTTCTCCAGTTCAAGTGTTGGCTAACTTTCCGTCAAGGTTCCCCACCCCTGTGGTCACTAGCTTCAATTCTGAAGCGCGAGAGGCTTCTGGCACCTGCTCCTCACTGTCAGGTCGCACAGTGGGACACCTCATTCTGATTTCCATTGTCTGTTTTTTAACGTGTTGAAAATGGAATAAGCATCCATCCTTTGTGTGCATTTGGTACAGGCCACAGTGGGCTTTTCGTCGGCCCCTGTTCGAGGATTGCTCAAAATCAGTTTTTTTCCCTGTTTCCCACCCGAGGGGATCCTGTTAGCCGCTGCAGAAATGGCCACTCTTGTTATCCCCAAGTCAAGAACTTGGCTGTGTTGTGGCCATGCCTTTAGGACTCCATGAAGAGCCGAAATTAAAAATTGATGAAAATTTTCCAAACAAATCCTTCAGGCTGTGGCGTGGATCCTACTGGCTGCTCTTAGTTGGATCCACAGTGAGCCTTGGGACCAAAAGGAAACCACACAGCCTGGCCAGGGATGGAGCGCAGGGCACAGGTGGAGCGGCCGGCTCACTAACCTTCGAGACAACCGAAGATGCCAAGGGCATCTCATCTCTTCCGGACACGCTCACCCCCAGCCTCCCACAGGGTCAGGTACCCCTTGGCCTCGGTTGGCAAGTGTGCAGAGTGCAGAGCCGTGGGGGTTGTGGTACTTTCCACTGAAACCTCCAGTGTACCTGGGAGACCTCTTTCTAAGCTAACTTAACCAGGCCTGTGGCCTGGTGCTGTTGCAGCAGAAAAGAACTAAGACACAGCCTCAGCCCGCTCCTGGGACAAAGGGGGAGGGGACTTCAAGCATTTGTCTTGACAAGCTTGTGAGAAAGTGTTTGTGGCTTTCTATGCTGAAGGGACCTCTCCTGCCAGCCCTGTTCTGGGTCCCCTTCTTGCACCTGTGTAGGCCAGGCAGCAGCAGCTTCAGGAATCTTCCAGCAAGGCTCAGCGCCCGCCCCACACCCTGGTGGCTTCCAGCCACTCGGTAAGCTGAAGCTTGGGGTCCGAGCTAATTGAGAGGTACCTGGGGATTGAGTGTATGGCCGCGTGCCTCTACCACAATGGCTGATGGCTGCCGTCAGAGGGGGAAGACCGGCTGTTCTTTCCAAGTTCCCACAGCCTGCCTCAAGCGAAGAGCTACTCTGGCACGTCAGACGCCTCCCTGCTCCTTGGAAAGCCTGGCAGCGAGGAAGGAGTCTGGGATAGAGGGAAAGCTCCTGCTTGTGTGGCCCGGCTTCCTGCCAGAGTCCCGTTTCCAGCCCAGGCAGGCAGT